ATTATCAACAACAAAGCACTTAAGTACACGTGTAATTTTTGTTTGTTATATAAATATGCATAAATCTTACACATTATTTAAATACATAAACTATTTTAAAGGGTCCTTCAAACATCAAATAAATACATTCCACTGAATATCTTTGGTATGCCAGGCCTACCATACTATATAAATGAATAAAAAACTTATTTCCTGCACAAACACAACATGGCAATAAAAAAGCAAGGAATGTTATGAGTTAATCTAAGTTTTTAAATGCAGCCAATCATATAAAACACATAACTTCAGCAAAGACAGGGTACATGAAAGGGAAACAGGGCTTATAAAAAACAGTGGACTCTGAAACTTTCCTAATCCAAGCAGAATATTGTATCCATCCTACATAATTGTAGGCAAGAACATTTTAAAGGGGAGGTGAGGGTTAACACTGAGTTCTCTTGTTGTATTGGCTATATTTAAATCACTTAAAGGTAACTAACTAAAAAAAAGAACCAAAGTCTATGGGTAAGAATTTCTCCTGAGAAAAAATTCAAATGTGGAATAAGCTGTATCAAAAAGTTGTTACAGTATTATTCGTAACAGCAGAAATATAAAATAATCTAGATGGTGATCAATAGGTTAATGGTTAAATAAATGATGTACATGCATTCTGACACAGCCATTAAAATGTTAGTACTTTAGCAACATGTAAAAGTACTTCTAATAAAATTCTAAATGGAGAAAAGGGAGCATACAAAATTGTATATACAATATGATAAAAAACTATAGACAAGAATATAAAAATAAGGATTACAAAAAAAGACTAAATAAAAGTGTACTGAAACAGTGATTGCTTTCATTTTCTCTATTTTCCTTTTTTGTTGTTGCTGTACTATATTTCATTAATAATTAGCCAGCTACCCCCACCTCGTACCCTGGTTAAACAACACCCCCACCCACACACACACACACACACTAGCCAAGACCTAGTGTAAACATTAGTAGCATTAACGTTCTGTATTGGTACTACTGCATTGAAGAGATAATATTCCAGACAACTAGTAACAACACCTAGCACCTATCAAACACAGCATCATGCACTTAAGCTGAACCACCAGACTTCTCCATGTTTAAAATCTGACCATCTGTTCAGAATTACACCTAGAAAGGAATACTATCAACATTTGTAGTAAAATGCTTATAACAAATACATTTATTTTTCCTTTTTTATCCACTAAAATAAATAATTTTAACAAAAGTGCTACAGTATATTTCAAAAAACATGCCTAACAATTCCACTAGACAGTAGCATAAGTACTATAGGTTGATGTAGCACCCTAAAGTTAGGCATGTCACCAGATCCACAGTCTCAGTATTTTATGATAGAATTGTTCTTTTAAGAATAATAGACATTCAAAATTCCTTTGTCCTCCAACATATGGGAGGCATCACAGTTCATCTAGAAAAACTATGAACAGCAGTGCAATAGGTTGTTTTCCAAGAAAAGTAGTGAGGAATGTAGTTGAGCCAATTTTAAACTCCAGAATAAGCAAGCCAAAGAAATTAGTTTCTTGTCTACTAACATCTACATGTCAAAAATTACTAAATATATCAGTTAAATTTTCTACAGTTGAAAATGCATTAGGAGAATTCATATTCTTTGGTAATTATTTTATGTAGAAATATTTACTTCTAAAAATCTTAACAACTGCAAGCTTTAACGATTTTAATGTTGATGTCACATGGCCAGTTTTTATGTATTTAGCCTTTGAATTTTAACTCTAAGAGAAAGACAAATATTTAACAGAGCAATTGAATTCTCCAGGAGCCAGATGATGTTCACAGACTATTTATGGCGATTCTACTTCCTTTTAAAGACCTTTTCTTACTTGTAGCACTAAATTGAAATTTTTCTGTCAATTGGCATATGCATTTTCTAACTGAACTGTGTAAGAACGATTTTATATTTGAACAGTTCAGTTCAGGCTCAGCTAAGACCATTAGCTGAACTGCAGTTGTTATGCAAAACTAGTTTTCATTGTAGATTTAAAGCACAATATGTTCCATGTGAAATCAGTCTGTTACAACTCTGTATCATAGCCCTTACTAATTAAGACAACAAATACAATTTTAAAATACCTATAGAAGCACTCATAACTGTGTGATCCAAAGACTTTCCGAAGTGAATGCATATTAAATAACTTTACATTTTATTTCTCTAAGAATTTATTAATCAATTTAATATTTTGACAGTAATATTTACAAACATGTATCTCAATTGACAGGCTATTGATTATTTACAATAATATAGTTTTATGAAAATCACATTTAAAGAAAAAATATACAGTAATACCTTGGTTTGCGAGAATAATTTGTTCCGGATACAAACTACTCATATTGCAAGACATCGTTCGTTTACCACGTTAAAATGTATTAGAAATGTTTGTCTGTCTTGCGGAACACTCGCAAACCAAGTTACTCGCAATCCAAGGTTTTACTCTGTCTGTGTTTTGAAGAAGCACGAGAAGGAGGCTGTATTATTAAAGAGTTGACTGGAAGAGTTGTCTGGAGAAATTTTATCCTACATATGAATTAACTATATTTTGTCTATCTTTTCACCACTTTGCTCTTTCAAATTACTCCTTATTCATGAATTTCTAGCTCCTGACAAGATACACCCCAATTTTAAAGGAAATTTAATTCCTTAACCAGCATTTTCTCTTGACTAGCTACATTATTCAACAAAAGAAGGTGGAAAGGCTTGATATGAGAAGCTGAGACGATGCGTTAGGTTTTCTGTTCCCTGAAAGCAAACCTGTTCCCTGAAAGCAAACCTGTATAACAATGTCTCACACTCTCCAACTGCTTCAAGTCAGTCTTCAAAGATTATATTCTGAGAGATGTTGTCTATGAAAAGTCTCTGAAGGGTCATTTTTTAAGGTTTACTGGGAACAAAATCATTAACTAAATTCCCCTGCCACTTATCAACAAAATTTAAGCAGACGGGGAGATGCTTATGTACACATTTGGTGCCAGCCAACTACCTCCTGACCCATTCCCTTCCTTAAACTTTACGATCTAGTTTCTGCATTTCTGAACCTACATCCTGGGAATCAAATACTCCCCAAATTCAAAGCCTTCTTTAAAGTCTTCATCTTCCCTCTCCCACTTCGGGAAACACCTGGTATTCCTCCAAAAGAATAACTATCCACAATTCCTGTGACTTCTTGGGTAACTTTCTTCATTCCTTTCTCTCTGCCAAACTCAAGATCTCTACGGTAAAGAGCACAGACTCTGACGCTAAATGCCTGGATTCAAGTCCTTACTCAAGTCCACTTACTCTCTGTGTGCGTGTAGGCGAGCTGCTGAACTTCTATGTTCTTAGGGTTTTTTTATTTGTAAAATGAGAAGAATAACAGTGCCTACTTCATAGAAATTGTGAGGAGGAAATACCAGGACACACACCAGAAAATACAAGTGAAGCACTGATGCTAGAGCCTTGCCTAAAATAACTGAGTGTTGGCCAGCAGCAGCAGCAGCAGCAGCACAAACGTGCGAAGTCAGCGTTGGCTGTGGCAGCAGCTGCGACTGCGGCCATTGCTGTAACCACTACTGTAAAACTCAGTCTTTTCAAGAAATCAGCCTCTCCTACCAATTTAACCACAGGCTTCGACATTAGCTAATGACTCCTGAAAGATGCTCCATTTTCTTATTTCCAAACTCTTACAAGTCACTTCCATTTGGAAAGCTCATGGTTGGCTCAAATTCCAAGTATCTAAGCAAACTCATCATTTCACTCCATTTCTCAACTTCCCCATTTAGATTTCCTTCCTTCCTTCATTCAGGCTCCTAAGCTGGCAGCCTGGGCGTCATCTTCGATTTCTCCTTTCCTTCAGCCCTCCCAGTTGGTCAGATACCAAATTCTGCGGAGTGTACCCCCCTCTCCTTCCCGGGTCCACACTCCTCGTCAGGGTGGCCGAAGACCTCAGTCTCTCAAACCTGTATTTCTACCTTTGCATCTAAGTCTGACTTCCCACTTCATTTCTTTCCCCTATAACATACTACAATAGTTCCCATCACCTTATGCTTCCTATTACCGGTTTCCTTTTGCCTTGTATACCACAGTCGAAACTCAGCTACTCACTCACCCTTCAAGATTTTAATAGTTCCTTCACACTCCAACTTCATTTCCCACATCAGCAAGAACGGTCTGCAGTTGATTCGCACACCCACCATGGCCACCGTGCTTGTTCAGAGTCTTGTCGTATCTGAAAGGGGTGCTGCCCCTACCTCTCTGTTTAGGCCCAGTCTAATCATTATCTGAGGCCCAACTCAAAACGCACATCCTCCCTCACTAACCTGAAGGCACCGGTTCATTCTGCTGTCTCCACTTCCTGACAGCTTTCCTTTCTTTCCCAGTGTTACTCAGCACCGTACTTCTTGAATGCTAGGCTGGTCCCTATATTTTACAGCCTAGCATTTATTGTATCAAAGCATAATACAATTATGTATAACATTGAATTATTCATTAGTCCCTTAAAAAGTAGACTAAATATGTTATACTTTTGTTTACCCTACAGCAGCCATAAGGTGGCAGGTATTTCATATGTACCATGCTGCGCCTACTTGGGGAGTTCCCAAATTGTTAACCTGAATTTTGATGCCCTAAGACAGCAGTCAGCAAACGTTTTCTATAAAGGGCCAGGTGGTAAAATTTTAGGCTTTGCAGGCCCCATATGGCCCCATCACATATTCTTTTTTTTTTCCAACTACTTAAAAATGTAAAAATCGTTCTTAGCTTGAGAGCCCTGCCTAAGCAGGTCATGCATGGCCTGGATTTCGCCCACAGCCATGGTTTACCAGCCTCTGCCTCTCCCAAGGAACAGTTCAGTGTCTTACAGAGTCCCTACAGTTCAGCATTTTTATCAATATTTACCTAATTTTTCTAAAAGTTGATTGGTCAACCACTTTATACTGACTTTTGAGCTCTAACATAAAACAAGTAACCCCTGAGTTCTTACCAGCTCTCTCAGACTTTTCTTTCTGTTCCCGTAACTCCTCTCCCTGGGTAGTTATCTGTTTGATGCGACTACGAAGTTGAGCAATTTCTTCTTCTTTCATTTCCAGGGTTTCATGCATCTGCCGTTTTGTCTCTGCTATTACCATTCCCTAAACAGAAGTGCAGACTAAAGTATTTGCATAACAAAACTGCATCATCGATAGCATGCATCAAACTTACTTTAAAAGGCAGAAAACATAGTATCTCTTTCTAAGTATAGCATAAGATTTATTTCACTATTTCACAACCTGAAGTCTGTGTTCTTTACTATATGCTACACTATATACAATAACCTTGGGTACCTGGCATGAGATCAGGGTATTTTTGACATAAAAAATTATTTTAATAGTAAGTTTAATCTTTTAAGTATTAAAAACATATCTTAAATTAAAAACTTATTTTATAATCCTCCTATAAATGTTTGCTATCATTTTCCCTATCTTAGTAAACAGTTTATAATGAACAAAACACAGCCTTCTGTACTTGGCTCAGAGCCCTCATAAGCTATCAATTATTAATCTGTGCTGTAAACAGACAGCGCCTCAGAGGCTGCTGAGAGTACAGGTTACTGCTGCCACACTGGAGGGACCAAGACTGCGGTACAGATCTACCTGGTGTTTCTCCTTCCTCTTGGGACGGTCTATAGTCCCACCACCATCCCTCTGTGTCACTGAGGCAACCCCATTCCTCCAATTTCCTAATTCCTACTGTCTTCCCACTCTCTGGATCATCTACACAAGAAATGAAGGTCATGAAGGGGAAAAAGATGATCAAATATATATTAAATCAGTCATTTGTGACCAACAAAAAATGGGGTGGTTCAACTTGTCCTTGAAAAGTAAGATTTTCTGACAGCTATTTTACTGTCTTAAGATTATTACCTTACTTCCGCAGATAGTCAATTCCCACTTTAGGGTATGACTCTTCCAGATGGCTAATATTAATGGACAGGTAAAAACCAGGTACATGGGGCATTATTATATGAAATTTCAAAACAAAACCGTGGGCCTTCAGTTTCTTCAAAAACCAAATCACAACAGAAAAAAGAGGGAGAGAGAGAGAAAGAGGGCAGTGAAACTTATAGATTAAAAGAATTCTTGAGAGTCATATCAACCATTTGCAATGAAAGAATCTTATCTGAATCCTGATTCACAAAAATGGAAAAACAAAATGCATGAGACAAAAGGGAAAATCTGAAACTGACTAGATAGTTCATCGTATTAAGGAATTATTGTTAAATTTTTAGATGTGATCATGATTGCGTGGTTATATTTTTATAAAATTAAAGAGTCTTTAAAGATACCTTAACATACTTATGGAAGAAATGATAAGATTTCGTGGATTTGTTCTAAACCATCCCGGTTGAGGATATTGGGGCTGGGAATGTACAGGTGAAGCGAGATTAGCCATGAGATGTTAACTAGGAAACATTAACTGTTGAAGCTGGATGATGAGTTCATAGGAATTCATTAATTTTTCTAATTTTGTAAACGTTTTAAGTTTTTCATAATGAAAAGGGTTTTTTTTGGTTGTTTTTTTTAAGTGGACCTTCATGCCGTTTATGGACTGGAATATAATGATATTATAGAATGAAAAGATTGCCAATGATGCATTTCAATAGCAGAACAGCTCTTACATGTTCCTCATTACATGGCCACTTAAACTACTGTAGCTATAAAGCAGCACAGTAAAGAAAATGGTGGGTGGTGTGTAACCAACTGGGAGCTGCTTTTTAAAAAGGACCCAAGAGCCTGGGGCTGGGAGAGTTAGGTCATAACTGTTTGCCCATGAATTTTTCAACGTCTCTGCTGCCAGAGTAACATCTGTTCCAACTCTAAACTACCCATCTCACCTGTACCTTCTGAACTTCATTCATAGAAATTTGTTTATGCTAATACATGCATTACCACTTCTTTACCTTTTAGGCAATTATCTGAAAGATTATTCTGTTTCCATTATATTTGAAAGATAATACTTATATCATTCAGATTTAGTAATGCCTTAGCTATAAATAACTTTTCTCTAAAAAATAGTTATGTACTATAAACAGATTTCTTTTGTAAGTTATTCTAATCTACAAATCAAAATGTTGACTGGGATAAAAAAATCACAGAGAATCAGCTTCACATGATACAACTAATATTAATAGTTATACAAATCTAGAAGTTAAAACAAAAAGATTTTTCATGGAAGCAGCTGCAATAATTTTGGAAAGCAGACGTCTGAATGCTTCCAACAGCTTCCAAAAGTGAGTTCTGGGGCCCCCTGACAAATTTTAGTATCATAAGTATTGCTTTACCTTATCTTGTTCAAGCTGTTCAATTAAGTTCTTTGCATCACGTAACTGAGTGATAAGTTTAGTCTTCTCAGCCATATGAAGCTCCTAAAAAAATTTTAAAAATTCATTTCCATCTCTAATAAAGCTTCTCCTTACATGAGAATGCTAAACATTTTATCGAATTTTGGGTACTTCTCATCGTCTAGTAAGAGGAAAGCACACAGGACAGCTCGGAAGTATGGACAATGCTATGAAGCTCAGGGCACCTGGGTGCCCTCTCTGTGCTATCTATGGAGGAAGGAAGAAGGCTGTCCAGAGAAGGTGTAGGCCACGCTGGGGCCTGTCGATCTAGCTTGATGGGGCCACTGTAAACAAAACTTATTTGTTCTTTTACCTTCATCTTTTCTAGTTCTTGAAGCCTTTCATCTAGTTGTTCTTGCAGTGCTTCTTTTTCACTGGTTAGCAGTGTACATTTCTCCTTATGTGACTGAATTGTTTCCTTACAGCGCTGCAGTAGGTTCTCTTGACGCTTAACTCTTTGTTGAAGTATTTCCAGTGTTGTGGCAGAAGCTCCATCTCCCACTATGAACAATAAAGCAGCATAAGCGGGGGCAGTTGGTAAGGAATACAAGGGCTCTGCAGGCACAGTGAACTCTGTTTTAGTACATAGGACTGTGTTCTTATCCCAACACTCTGCTATAGCCTGAGCCAGGTCAACAAGGGAGGGGCACCCTTCCAGGGCTCCCTGTGCTTAGCTCCCATCCAATGTACTCTAATCTCTTCCTGAGGGGAGCTCTGGTAAGTACAGCTTTTCCATCTCCTTACATTTCCTTTATGAGTGAGGTTTTCACACCCCAGGGGAAGGTCAGGGCCCCATACAGGTTGGTTGCTTAGATAGACACACCTGCTCAGCACATTATTCTGGCTCTGGGTGGACCAAAAGTTTATCATACAACTCTTTAAGAGAAAGAGCTGGTAAATAAAAAGTGGAAATTTCATCAAATATATACCTCAAAGCCTCAAAGAATAGAAAGGGCTATAAGAGGACTTTAAGATTTAACTATGTTTTCTTTTCCAGTTAGAAAACAAAGAGGGCAAATGCAGGCATCTTTGAATGCAGAAATATGTAAGCACTATTTCTTAAAAACTTATAAACAAACAATTACAAATAGCATATTCATTCATCTTGACCCATTTATATGAAATTTAGCTATTGCTCTCAATAAAACAGTATAACGTAATAAATTGATTTCAAATACAGCAAAAACGTGGTGCTGCTACTTACAGACTTCCACATCTTAAAACAACTACTTAGTTATTTTCTCCCAAATAACAACAAAGAACCAAAAAACAACAAAAACTCTTGCATCTCTCTGGAAATGTTAGGATCAAGGACATTTCTACCTCAGCCAACATCTATTAACTCATATCCTGGAATCACTCGACATCCTCCTCTGGCCTTCAAATTCATGTTTTGACAAGATGAAGCTTACCCACTGGCTCTGCATCACCCTCTGTATTCTCTTTAGTGACACCTTCAGCCTGCGGTTCTGTCTGAGGGAGTGGTTTTGGTAAATCAAGACTCATTGGGCCATTTCGTAACCGTTGTTTCAGCAGAGAAACCTAAAAAAAAATGTGCATCTTTAGAAAAAATTATTCAAAAGAAACTATGGCAGTAGGACTTTCTTTAAAACAGAGAGAGGATACAGTAAATAATATCTTTTTTTGCTAAGGTATCATTTAGGGCGAAAATTTTAATTACCTTTACTCCCAATGCAGGTGATGTTTATATTTGCTATTTTGAAAATCATAGTTAGCCAAGAGATACAATAAATTAACAATTGTCCTTAAAATTAATTGAGGAAAAGCAAAGTTTTAAAAATAGGCCATTTTTTAAACATCTGGAATCAATTACATATCCCATCAAAACCCCTTTGTTTCCTTTATCCAAAAATTCCACACTGTCAGTCTTTTACCTGAGTCTGGAGAACACTGATATACTGATCTTTTTCTTCTAAAGATGCATCAAACTCCTCTTGGAGATGTTTCTTTGCTTGCTGGTCCATTTGGAGCTCCTAAAACATAAAGGATTTTATAGGGAGTTTTCAGCACAGAGCAAAAAACACAAACTTGAAGTTTTCAAAGTTTAAAACACATGATCAATTGAGATTTACATTTGTCTTCAGATAAGGTATCAGCAAAACAATTAGAGAATAATCTGCATTTAAAACATTAGTATTTACAGCAGCAAATAATTCTGTTCCTTAAAGAAAAGGAAGATCCAAGGAAAGTATATTTTTGTAGCTGTAATGACTGCTGAATTGATAATAATGTAGAGAATAAAAAACTTAATTTCTTAAGATAAAAGTAAAACTTGATCCTACTTGAAGACATCGTACTGCTTGTGCTCTTACAGTCACTTGATCTAACATTAAATTGTTATATACCAAACAGATAGCCAACAGAGCCTTCCTCCTCCCAGTACATGAAAGGGTTCAAGAGTCAAAATTGGAAGCTTCCTCATCTGCAAAATGAAAAGGTTCAACTAGTTGATCACCAAACAGTAAAATTCCAAGTTCAGGAAATTACTTAAAATGTGACTTTCTTTAGGTCATTATTGAGCCTTCCTAACTAAATCCAGTGATCTTGACCGCTCTGCTGTACCCATCCCCACGAATCACCTCCTCAATGTCCCTGTCTCCCACAGCTTCAGGGCTCCTCTCCACATTCCCCTTTCTCACAGGTTCCTCTCTGTCCTTCACTGACTCTATCGGCGTCTCTCCTGCGTTCAGTCCTGTGGCCTCTGTGCTTCTCCCTTCCACTTACTCTATTGGAACGCTATAGATTAACTTCTAGAACCTTTTAGCTATCCCATCAAAACCTCTGCTTTTCTGGGATTCCTGCTTTTCTTTCTTTTTTTTTTTTTTTTCCTTTAGCTGAGCCATCCTGCTACCTGTTGGCAGCTCAGTAGCTGCTCAGCTCAAACCACTGTTGCTCAGAACTCAAACTCTTGAGCAAGTTCTTAACCAACTGAGCCACTTGGCCGGCCCAAAGATTCCTGCTTTTCTTACCTCAAGTCTTCCTCTGCCTTGATCCATCCTGCACACATTTGCTAGAGAATTTTCTTCAAACAGTGTTTTCAAGGACTTATAAGCAACGCCCTCTTCTTACATTGTGTCAAATTTATGAATTCTCCCAACACTGAGGCACTAACTGTCAAGCACTAACTGTCCTCTATTCTCCACACACTCACGCTGCCCACAATCTCTAAGCACATTATTTGCTGTTTCTCTCACTAAACGCTCCTGGCTTGATGTTCCCCCCCTCAACAGCCGTAGCTTCCAAAGACTGGTCTTCGGATCAGAACACGTCCAGAATGAAGTTTTCACTGACCCAGGGTGAAACAAGAAACAAGAGGTGAACGTAGAGAGTTTTTCTTAGATCTAAATCTTTCATTTAAACAGCTGTACTTTATTCTGAGAATATGTCCTTCCTAATTTTTTGTTATTAAAAAAAAAGCCTTTCTTTCATGAAATAATAAAAAAATCTGGTTCCTTATTCTTGATGTCCATACTTAAAAAAATAAAAACAGCCCTATGACAATTCTCCTTTATCCCACTTTTGGAGGGAACTGGAGTTAATTTTTCAGTCCACGAAATCCAAAAGTCTGAAAGCACTATTCTCCAAGGCTTTGCAATGGCCAATTCTTCAGTCTGGACCCTCTATACATCTTAATAGCAATGCAGTCCTTTACTTTCTTTGAAATTCATCTCTTCTAAATAATTTTTTCTGCCTTACCATGCTAGACTTTGTTACATTGCATCCCTAACAACCCACAAAAATGCCTCAATTTATATTGCAGTTTTCAGATTTTGAATGTTTTTCTTAAACATTCTAACAACTTGACTAAATCCTTTCAAAAAAAAGTGACGCCAAGTATTGACTCCAAAGTCCAATTTTAAAATTCAAAATCTCACTAGGAGAAAAAAACCTGCATGTTCACCACTTAGAGATAAAAAAAGATGTTCAAGGTTTACTATCATCTGACAGTTTATATATTAACCTCAATCGCCCAAACTATTTTGTTAAAATGTAAGCCTATGGGAGAAAAGTAACTCTTCCAGAAATCTAACTAAACTATATTTCCAGTTTAGGTTTAAATCAGTAATGATTTAAAAAATATTTTCAACCTAGTTTATCTGGCATTGAATATAGTCAATAATGCTCCCTTCAGTTAACTGCTTAAACTAATCCCTGGTTCACAAGAATAAGATACTAAAGTGTAATGCAACTGAACTTTTTAGCAAAATGATAAATGGCTCTATAATATTACTAAATATGACAACTAATTCAATAATTCTATTGTTGACCATTTAGATGGTTTCCAAATTTTGGTAAACCCTGGGATTAACATTTTTATGCAGAAATTTTGCAAGGTCTTTCTGATTACTTCCTTAGAGAGAAATTCTGATGAGTAGAATGTATCACATACCTTTAACTGTTTCATTATTTTTTATCTCAGGCCCTATGTTGCCCATTACGTTTCAGAGGTGGTTTCAAGCTGCAAAAATGAACCCTCCCTCCCTAAAGTCAGTTTTGAGAACAGCAACTGCTTATAACAAATCTTATCTGGATGAGCTTGAAAGAGGTACATACCATACACAGACAGAAGGGCAGAGAAAGGAGGAAACACCTAAGACAAAGCCTCCACTTATTCTCCATTTAACTGGCCTGGAAAAGGAACTCAGAGAACCCTATCTACTTAGATGAGCTCATAATTTGCATAACATAATTACCACTTCCTGATAACATGATATCCCTGTTGAATACCTGCTCATGTTATAAGATTCAAGATCAGGCAAAAAACATTACAGGGTATCTGTTGGAAATATTTTTACTTAACGTTTTGCTTCCTTATCTGATTCATTAAAAAAAATATGCTACGCAGTGAGTGGCTGTCCAGAAGCCGGCGACCGATGTGCCTCACCCGGGAAGAGCGCAATGATGGTGCCAACTTGGGCCAGTGAAGCAACGTCCTCCACAACTAGACTGAAGAACAAAAGGACAGCAACTTGTCTGTTCCCCTTCCCCCAATTCCCCAGCACTGTTCCCATCCCCCAAAATCCCCAATAAAAATCTTAAAAAAAATATATATATATGCTAGACACTGACAAAAGACACTATATTTGCTTATATAGAACAGTTGTTTTGTTTGTCCTCCAGAAAATACTAGGAGAGATGTTTATGTATTCTATTCATGCATATACTCATAACCACATGAGGAAGAAATAAAATACTAAAAATACTTTCTGAATGTCTTAATATAGCAAAATAAAGATATTATACTCATTTTTGGCCTGTCTGAATCAATAAAGTACTAATAAAACTTTGTATAGCTTCTATTCAGACTTTAATCCCAAAGAAACACTTTTATGACTTACATCACTTTAAAGGTTTAATTAAGTGTTAATCATGATTGTATGGGTTATATTATTTAGTGGAAGGAAATTTTTCTCTTCTTGAACAAAATTAAAAGTATATAAAACTCTCACTTACCTACTTAGCGTTTACATATAAATTACTGGATAAATCTTTATGTAACCAGAACCAGGGTTTTGGTTCAGAAATATATCTTAGCTACTATAAAAAATAGTTACATAGGTACCAAAGAGGAATTTACCATCTGGGCTCCAGATTCCTTGTTTCCCCTCCTTTATCTTATTAGTTCTCTCCTGGTCATCTCACTGATTCTCGTCACTAGATGCAGAAAAATGGCCCCCAAAGATTCCCCATCCTAACCCCCAAAACCAGTATATAAGAATTTGTAGATATGATTAAATTAAAGAGCTTGAGATGGGGGGGGGGCCTCCTGGATTATTTGGGTGAGCCCAATCAAACTTCTCATGTAATACATTTGTGTTGTTGAAAGTCATTAAGTTGTAGTAATTTGTTGTAGCAACAACAGAAAACTAATACAAGGAGGCAGATTAAAAAAAAAAAAAGTACTGAAACTCATCAATCTGTAGCTCTGATAAGTATTTCCTAAGAAGAAAGATAAAGTTACTAAATAAAGTTATGGATTTATTCTATACTATATCCTTTAGTTCTATATTACCTGTCCCTTCACCCCTCACCAGCTCTCAGAAGGGGAGGTAGTTACAAATCTGGTTGGTAGCATCCTGATTATTATAAGAGCCCACCTTCTCTGAAGGGTTAGCACACTTACTTCTTGCCACACCACTTGGCAGGGTATGCCTTTTAGCCAAGTCTGGCTCATAGTTTTTCTAAGTCCTTCAATGCCTGCAACAGAGGTGAGCTTGGCTAGAGCCTGCTAGCAAAGCAGGCCTTTTCTCTTCCCCACTTATGCCTAAGAATGCTGGTTCTGTCATTTAAACTAGAGAAAGGATAGATAGCAGGCCTATATTTCCTAAGAGCCAGCAATGAGGAATATCACATGAGTACTTATCTATTAATAAAATAGAAGTTTGTGGCCCATTCAGCTATATTTTCTTGAGTATAGCTCCCTCAGTAAGGGACCACTGGTGGAGAAAGAATGAGCAGCAGGAGAGAAAAACAGGTTTTCCTATGTCTCCAGCTATAATACAATTATAAACATCCTCAAAGCCTGATGTCTAACATCTAAAGTATACACTATGAATTTTAATCATGCCCACTTCTCCATTACTACATATACCTAATCGTTTAACTGTATAAAACCTAGCATTTAATTTCTTACAGAAATAGAATATATCTACGCACTAATTAATACACTCATTTATTCCCAAAATACAAGACAACAAGTAAAAAAAAGTACGAAGTGAAAAGATACTAACTTAATAGAAAAACCTTTTGGGTAAAAATGCCATATTATTAGTTCCCTGTAGCAAAATTCTGAAAGCACCTTCTTTCTAGTAATATAAAGTGATTGAAAATGAACAAAACCTGAACTTGAACTCCTATTCTGCCCAAACTCCATATTTCTAGTTTGACTTGAAGGATAGCATTACGGTGGTGCTAGTACTCAGAAAAGCATGCATGGGGCTTAGGAGGCATGCAGTAGAGATGCTGGGGGAAGTGAGAGAGTAACTTAGGGCATCCTCTTTTTTGGGTGAATATTAAATTTACAACAAGGATTAATAGGGAAAGAATATATATGTAATGCCTTATGATCTGGCAGTATAGAGATGAAAAATTTTTTTAAATGATGGAAGAGTGGGAACAGCATATAAAAATTTACTGAATTTCAGTAATCATAATTGATGGTGGTAGTATTAACATTGTTATTCTAAGACTGTTGGTTTATAATGTTAAGATAAGGCAAACGAGTAATTTTGAATCTTCTCATTTATCATCAGATTCTTCAACAGATGAACAGTAAAGAAAAGAAAGGGATGCAGGGATGTATAGACTTAGCAAAACTATTTTTACATAAACCAGACTATAGTGTCTGGGGGGTACACTTAAGTGATAAAATCTTAAAGAGACACAAGGACATACAATAAAAGTCAAGATATTAGTTATTTTTGGAGAAGGGGGTGCTGTGATTGGGTTGGGAAATAGGGAGGGGGACTTTGGGTGGTTGGCAACATTCTATTTCTTGACCTTGGTGGTGGTTATAACAGTGTCCACTATATACATGCAAGCTATACATTTTTCGTGCATGACTTTCTGTATCAGTTTTATTTTATAATTAAAAGATTTAAAAATGTTTATGATAAGTGGTATAGCAGAGATACAGAATGCTATCATGCAACCAACATAACCCAATAATCTCCATTATTAAAGCATGATTCCAAATCATAAATATTTGCCTGATTTCTAATACTTCACTGTAAAAATTATCCCTCAAAATTACAATGAACAAAATTTTTATTTTACCAGAAAGATTGTTGGTCAGGAAAAACAAAAAGAAGCTTGAAATACCTAATAGAAAGGTCAGTTTAGCCTTAGGAGTTGCTAGTGACTTTCACACAGGCAAATGATATCCCACTGCTAAGTAAGACATTCTCATTTCACTAATTCCATCAACAACATATGTCTTAGGAAAACCATGTAAATAAAAGCTGTAAGAATTGATCACTGGTCTTGTGTGCTGGGCTGGTTAGCTATTACTGTAACTAATGAAGTGCACGGACAACAATTCTGATAAATATGAGAAATTTAATTACTATTCACAAAGTACTAGTCACTACAACTTACCTCTCTTAACTCCGCAATTCTCCGAAGTGCTTTATCCTGACCCTGACTTAATATACCCTTTAATTCAAAAGAAAAAGAAAAAAGCTGGTTCAAACAATTGCATGACATAGTAATACAAAGCAAGTCAAAAATAATTGTTTTTACAATATTACAACTGTTTATACAAAAATAACCTGAGGATAGAGAACAGAACTGAAAATGTTAAAGATGTGACCATGTTTAAAATTTGTTACCAGTTAAATCATGATGTTCTAGAACTGTTCTACACCCTGGCTGTGGTAGTGATTACACAATCACATGTAGACAAAACAAAAGTCAATTCCACTGTATGTTAATTTAAAAAATAAAATTTTTAAAAAATTAAATCAATTTCCAAGTGCAATTTATTTCATTGTCGTCTATCATGTGTGGGACATTACCACACATTTACCAGCCTGTTCTAAAGGTTTTTGTGGCTTAAAAACAAAAGTCTTTTTCTATATTAAAAAAAAAAATGTCCAGGGGAAAACTGCAAAGAGAACTACTGGTTGCTAAAATAGTAGATACATATAAAAATCAGGAAGCTGAAAGGGTAATACTGAAAGATGACTCATCATTTCCTGGGGTGGGGCAGTGATGGTACTTTTCACTAGTGAGGAAATTAAACCTGAAAAGTTATAGTCTGTGGCAACCAAGTGTATATTCTTGTGCAATATAAATACAGAGAGGCAAAGAAATGGGGGAATCCGGAGCTTCACTGGTCTGTATGGACTAACAACAAAACAGAGATACAGGCAGGCAAAAGTTTGCTTATGGCCCAGGGAGGCGTGACTTGACTGTTTTTGTGGGGCCTTGTAAGTGAATAAAACAAAAAACAAAGGCTTTTTTTTCCCCCTAAAGCCATGAACACAGATTTTTTTTCTATCATATATAAATTTTTAAATGCAGAAAGATGCAATGCTGACAACGATGAAAAAGTGCAGTGCGTTCTTCACAAGCACACACTCTGCAGCCTAACTGCCAGGAAGTGAATCCTGGCTCTCCTTCTCTTACAAGACGTGCAACAACAAACAAGTCACTCTTCCTGTTTCCTCAAAGGAAAGCTTTAGGGACTAAACACACCGAAATGCCTGGCACACAGTAAGAGCTGGATAAACACTAGGTGGTGTGAACAGCACCGGTAACTGAGTTGGCAGTACTTACAATTTTAATTTCGTTGGCTCTATTGAAAGGATATTTGCTTGTTTAATAGAGATTTCCAGGCATGAAAATATGGGCATGTATACATATATAGAAAAAGAGCATAAATCATTGAATTTTATCTCCAACACCCTTTGTAATTAGGACTATGCAATCATAAGTCTCTGTTGCCACTTAGTGGTAGAAATATATACACCCAGGAATAAAAACCCATAGACAATTCATAAAAACGCAAGCAAGGTACCCACAGAATTTAGGAATAAGATGACCATTGAGAATGAATTTATGGAATATTAATAACACAATGGATTAAATCAGAACCATCCCCCCACTTTGATAGAACTCATGTTTAAGAAAATATTTTAAAAAATGGAGAGTGGGGTCAATGGAATTGTAATAGATATGTATGATGTCGGGGGGGGGGCGGTGAATTGGGCAGGAGAGGGGTTGTCACTTTGTGAGGGGTGAAAAGTATAACTATTGCGTTGTTTTGTACACCTGAAACTAATAAAAAAAATTTTTTTTTAAATAATCTAGGGGCTAGCTGAGTGGCTCAGTTGGTTAAGAGCTTGCCCAAGAGCGCGAGCTCTGAGCAACAGGGTCGCCCATTCGATTCCCACACGGGCCAGTGTGCTGCGCCCGAGCTGAGCTGCCAACAGGTGGCTGGATGGCTCAGCTCGTGAGAGCACGTGCTCCTAACAACAAGGCTGCCTATTCGAGATGGTGGGCTACGCCCCACCCCGCAACTAAGACTGAACTCGGCACCTTGAGCTGAGCTGCCGCCAAGTTGGTTCAATGGATAGAATGTGCACTCTTAACAAGGTGCTGGTTCGACTCCCGCATGGGATGGTGGTTATGCCCACCCACAACTAACTGAACAGAGCACCTTGAGCAGAGCAGCGTGACTGGACTTGGAGCTGAGTTTGCTGCGCCCTCCACAATTAAGATTGAAGGACAACTTGGCTGTTCCCCTTCCCCAATTCCCCAATAAAATCTGTAAAAAAAAAAAAAAAAGAATCTAAAACAAAAAACAAAAAATTTAAAAAAAACTAAAAATTCCATCTGTAATAATCTAACTTTCATATGTGTTACAGACAATTATTAACAGAACACTGAATCAGCAGTAAATAACTGGTGTTGCCATTCTGAGCTGATTATATTCCATACCAAAGTCAGAAAATTTAATGTTGCATTTAATGGAGATTAATATTTATGAGATTAAATATTTTTAAATGTACATGGGGAAGTTAACTAATTTTACCAAAACTCATTTTACAAATAACTTTTAGTTACGCAACTAACTTTTGGTTAGTGTTTTAAATGGCACAAAATGCTAAACTGTTATAAATAAGACTACTATAAAAAATAAGACAATATATAAGACTATATTTATAAATAACACAGCAAACTAGAGCACCGTTTGAACTGGACTGGATATTTCCCCTTAGCTCTGAAGTGTGACGCCCATGGAAATTTTCTGACCATGAACAGGATAATACCATAGGGCAGGGGTGGGTCACCCAAAAGAGCTACCATCACTTTCTCCACACTGAAGAGCTTTCTAGCAGCAGCCTCAGGAAACAGGAGAGAGGATACTTGGGTTGGGATCCTGATACAATGATACAAAACAGAGATATCTGCAGGTTTCTAAAAAATAGAAGGGAAAGCTTTGAAGCTTTAGTCTCTTCACCTCTAAAACAAAGATGCAACCTGCAGACTGAGACACTAGGAAACATGCCTGAAAGGGGCAAACATGCCTTAAATCCAAATCTCTTAAAACAATGCAGGGATCCAAAACTCAAGGAAGCCCATCCCTACCAAAAGTAAAATCTGTGGGATCTCTCATTCACTCCCTTTATCAAACCCCCAATAATGCTAAAGCAGGTTAATACTTGGATTACATGGAGAATTATTACAAATGAGGATTAGAACTTTCTTACTATCAGGTTCTTTCTAATTTTAAAATTATGTATGAATCAATATCACAGCGAACAAATCACTTACTTGGAGCTTTTTGTTGTCTCTCTGAAGCGTCTGATAAGCTGTAACAATCTAAAATGAAGAAAAAGTCACCAATAACATTAGTCATTCCTAAATAAATGCAATTAATTATTCTAAACTCCACTAAAACATCTTGTTATGAAAGTCAAAAAATAAATCAGAAGAATCCTTTTATATACAATGCAATCTAATTAGATGCATATACAGTCAAAACTGAATAACAGGAAATATATTTATAAAAAACTAAAAGGAGAACTTGACGCTATACACAAAGATATTAAATCTCTATTTGACTTTACCTTAGGCTCATGCCTCTTTAAATCTCAGTACCTAACCATAGGTGAGAAATACCTCACTTGAAGAAAGGTAGGATGCTACTCAAACTGCAGTCACAGACCAGGACCATCAGCCACAACGTCACCTGGGAGCTCCACAAGGTCTCCAGGTGATGTTCTTGCCTGAGGTATAAGATACCATGTAGTTGATCTCTAGAAGTTCCCTCTGGTTATAGGATCAGTGACTATGGCTGTGTAAACATCTGAGGAAAAGAGCTCATAACCAACAAATGAAAACTGGTGATTCAGGGACTAAAGAAATGTTTAACCACTTAACCTAAAGAGGATATTGAAACCATCTGGCACAACCTGAAATTATGAATTAACAAATCTTTTAAAATCTTTAAATGACATAGCACTACTCATTTGAAGGTTAAGCATGCGGTTCCAGTGAATGACTTGGCCCCGACTTTAGAGGTGCTAGTGATCTCTGTAGAGACAGGCTGCAGGTTTAGGAGGAAGCACTCCCCTATTCCGAGCCTTGCCCTTTTCCTTGGAAGGCTGCTGTGTGCCCTAAATGCCTCTACTGATGTCTTGAGTGAAGAGGCAGGCAGCAATGGAAGGTGAGTCGGCAGCAGAGATTAAGAATACAGAGAACAAAATTCTGCCTAAGACCCGTTCCTATTACCTTAAGACCAGATAAGCAAGGGGAGGTGAAGACAAAGACTGGGGGCTCAATCCAACCCTAATGAGCTGCTAATTCTACCTGAGGTAGCACAGAGTAACAGAAACAGCCAAGGGGACCTAGAATCTAATCCAGACTCTGTCAACTGCTCCCTAAGAGACCTTAAGCAAGTTACTTAATCTCTATGATTAAGTCTCTGAGTCTCTAATCCCTATTCTACAAAATAGAGCTAATGAGTATCTAATTCACAGAGAGATGATGCAAAATAAAATGGCACTTTAAATACAAAATGCATAGTGTCCTGCACCTTAAATACTAATTACACTGTTGCCCAAGTTTCAAACTTAAAAGCCATGGGTAAATTAGAGAAAACAGCATAAATCTTAACAAACAAACAAAAATCAAGACCATTATTAACTTTGATAAAAATAAAAAGCTTGGGTTGGCCGAGTGACTCAGTTGTTTAAGAGTTGGCTTAAGAGCGCAAGTTCTGAGCAACAGGGTTGCCGGTTCAATTCCCACATGGGCCAGTGATGCTGTGCCCGAACTGAGCTGTCGCTAAGATGCCAACAGGTGGCTGGATGGCTCAGCTGGTGTAACAACAAGATTGCCTGTTCAATGGTGGGCTACGCCCACCCACAACTAAGCCTGAACTTGGCACCTTGAGCTGAGCTGCCACCCAGATGGCTCAATGGATTGAGCGTGCGCTCCTAACAACAAGACTGCTGGTTCGATTCCTGCATGAAATAGTGGCTACACCCACCCGCAGCTAAGATTGAACACAGCACCTTGAGCTTAGAGGCCACAAGCTGCCGACAGGAAGCCAGATGGCGACTGGTGCCCTCCACAGAGAAGACTGAAAAACAACAACTTGGCTGTTTCCCTCCCCCAATTCCCCAATAAAATCTTAAAAAAAAGAAATAAAAAGCTTTAAAGGAAAAAGTTGCCTGATTCCACAAGTGCCTCATTAGATACATGGCCCCATTTACATCTCTGGGTTCTGCCAGCCAATAGATTTTAGCCTAATAACTCCTTCCTATTATGTCAGTACTGTATAGTTTTAAAAATACTTTTTATATATTTCATCTAGGGCTTTTCTGTGCTTTTTGGCTGCAGGGTAAAACTATTCATATTGTAGCTATAAGTGGAAATAGAAGATACGGCTAACTTTACATGCTAACCTTGAACTCTATTATTCATTAATTAAAATTAACTACAATACTGATTTACAAAATCTTACAATAAAACATTAGGCATTGTTTAAAAAAAAAAAGCCATGGGCAACTTGTTCTAAAAAGGTTTTCCTTAGGCAGAACTGTATTAACTACACAGGATGGGAGGAGGGACGGACAATGAATACAACTCAGCACGAAGTGTACAGAAGCTGTGTTCCTGAAGGGCTGAAAAGAGGCTGAGTAGCCCTACACTTCCTTCCTCTCTTAGGCCAAAGAGAGAGTATAATCCTCAAGGAGGGCAGCAGTTAAAAGATTCATTTGAGGCCAAGTTTAAATGTAGGTACAATGAGAGTGAACGAAACGCATCACAAAAGCATACTTCAAACATTGGGGTCAGTAATAATGGCGATCTGGTTGGCAGAAGAGGTCATGTTGGAGCCACAGCTCTTCAAGGATGACAGGGAGGGGATGGGAGAAGGAAAGACAATGAACTCTGCATGGGATGTCCAAGCAGAGGGGCACAGAGTGTGAGAACCAGAAGGTTACAGTCAACAACCTTCTCCAGCATTTTACTAGAGTCTTGCCAAAGGGCTTCTGTGCCACTGAAAGTCTTTAGCAAGATATTCCCACAGATTACCCGCCATTAGTAACCAGCATATCTAGGGAATCAAGGGTTTAGCCAACCACAGGAGTAAAAACCATACAGTAATATGAAATTAGAGAACAAGGGGAAGAGGGTTTCGCCCAGGCAGAAAAGTCATGCTCCTACCTCAGAATATTTTCCTTTGTAGCTATTCAACCTTCGTTCCATCCTACGCAACCACTGAACCAACTGTTCTTTGTTGAGGCTGTCTAAATTCCCCAGTGAGTCTTCGGCCTCGCTCTCCATATCAGAGGGTGGATCAGAGGTGGCAGCAGAGAAGTCCAGGTCAAGTCGGTTCAGGGACTCTCTGGAAGACGTTCGTACCAAAGACTCTTTAGAAGAAGATCGGAATAGAGATTCCCTTATTGGACTTCGAAACAAAGACTCCATGGAAGGCACCCGGAGCTGAAGCTTCTGTGCAAAAGACTGCGTGTCACTGGACTGTAAGTAAAACCCAACAGAACGTGTGAGTTAAAACACACAGTTAGACTTCTATGATTCCCCATCACCAGCAATAATCTATTAAACGCTCTAACAAATTCAATTCATATTCCTGAGATTCGACGTAATTGTTTTCTGAAAAACAAAAGACACCTGGTTATTTCTGAAAACGCGCTGGACCTGGAGTCAGAGGCCTGGGGCATAGGTCCCAGGTCTGTCACCGAGCAGAGGAGTGACCTCCACTAAGTCACTTCCTTTTAGTTGGCGCATCTGTAAAAAAGAAGGAAGCCATACTTTCTCAGCTGACCTCACAGGTATGCTGTGAGAACTCATCCACTAAACTGCAAGATCTTTGGAGGCAGGGACCACCTGTGTCACCAGTACATACCCAGTGTCGAAAATGGGGGTATATACTGTGATGTGTGCAGTTGTGGCTGAAATCAAATAGACCTTATCTGGAGGCATTGACTCCTGATCACTCTTCTCAACAAAAGAGGGGAATGGGGCCAGGGGAACAGTAATGTGTAGCGAGCCCCTTTTGTTCAACAAGAGAATGCCAGATAAAAGTAACTAGTGACATCCAACTCTGCTACTTACCATTCTACTGGGAACAGAAATAAGCATTAAAAAACCATGACGGACAGTTGAAAACTCTGAGCTAGAGCCCTTCTGCACAGATCAGTAAGTCTGATGTTAGAAACAGTGATAAGCAGGAAGTATTCTCTTACTTAATTTGCATAATAACATTAATTTGAATACTAACAATAAAAAGCAATATATCATAATTTCACAAGCTGTCCTGAGCGGCATTGTTTTGGTCAGGTGACAGCAGTCAGTATTTAACAGGCGTCGCCTAGAAACTCATTCTCATGAGCACAGCAAGGTCATCTACAGGATCTCAGCGACACCAGGACTGAAACGCTCAGGGGAGACTGAGGTTATGTGTAGGCAAAGATTTCTTCAGTATACAATTTGAAAATCAAAACAGGACTACTTCAGTCGTGGATTTTAGAGATTAGTAACAGTATTTGACAAGGTGGGAGTAACAGGGGATACCATGCCCCATCCCTTCATATGCAGAGATTTATCACAGGTTGTTTATAACAGTAGAAACTGGAAACCACCCAAATGTTCACCACTAGAGGATACCTTATATAAATTACAATGTATGGAAGGAGGTTCAAGATATTTTAAATGGAAAAAAAATAGGTTATAAAACAGTATGTACATTGTGAACTCATTTTGATTTAAAGTAATTACAAACTTTTTAATTTCTATGTATGTTTACACAAATACCCTTAGAACCAGATCATTAAGAACAAACACCAATCGTTAGCAGTCAGTGGTTCTGAATGGTAAGATATTAGATTATTTTTATTTTTATATTTTTCTGTACTTTCTAGTTTTATTTTCCACAATGTGCAAGTTTTACCTTTATTTGGGGAGATGGAGAAGGTATTAAGGGAAAGGAGGGACCCTCATGCTCAAAAACTTGAAGAACCAGCTACACTACCAGCTCCTAAACTGCTAAAATCCTAACACTATGATTCAATAAAGCTATTTTACAACTTCTCAGGTAAAGACAAATGCACAAATACTACCTGTTTTGAAAAACGTATTTTTCTCTATCATGTGGTGGCATTACTAATTATTTTCAAATATCTGAGTTTTATAAATCTGTTTGAAGTAAAAGGTCAACTCTGTACATTCTTTTGGAAATGAGTCACTTTGATTAGCTGAATATTATGAACTGCATTAAGCAATTTAAAAGTTAACTGTATTTAACAGAAATTTTTCTGACAGATAGACACTTTTCTGCCTTCTTAAATGAGGACAATGACTAATCTTTTATAATGATCCCTGCCACAGTCATTATATTGTGTGCCAAAACTTTGATTTACACAGGACGTTCCACCCAGTAGTAAGGGGGTCACAGGCAGCTCTGCGTTACGAACTCCTGGGCTTGCTCTTGACCATCTCTTCTACCTTTGTGTCAGCTCTGATTCCCGCTGCTGTCAAGACAGCCAACCGTAGTAAGCATGCTAGCCCCTTCATGGATACACTTTGTCCCTGACTTGCTAACAACCAACAACCAACTTCTCAGAAATCTATTGAAAAGTAAACAGACTCTAAGAGAAGGCATTTCCTTGTTATAAGAATTAAATGAGATCATATATATAGAATGCTTAACAATGCTTGACAGAGTAAACACTCAACAAATACTATCTTATTATTTTTTTAGGTAAATATTTGTTGCTATTTTTTTTAAGAAAGTTTAAAGCCTTTAGTGCACTAAGTTCCTGAATATCACCCATGTTCATTATTCGCCTTAATGAAAACTTAAATCTCTCCCGAATTTCTTATAAAGATGGTTATCATTCATTCTAGTTTTTGCATTCAAAACTGTATTCAGTCTTTTTGAACTATTCTATAAGAGAAGAAAATAAACATTCTAAATAATATTCTTTAATAATATTCCTCAAAGGTCACTGGATCTGTCCAGTACCATTTAGATTTGTACCTCTCAATATGTTATCCTTATCTCACGGCACTTAGGGAAATGATGTATTTGTAGAGGACCTGGGATTAATTGAGGATGCTACTCAAGGCCAGAGTCAACAGGCCCAGGGCCCTGGACTGGGGCCAGAGCCTGCTGGGCCTCCCTGAAAGGACTGAGGACCTCGGCTCATAGGTAACCTTTTCATGGAGTTTGGGAAGCCGTAATTTATACAACTGCTAGACAATACTTCAGAATGTTTAGTCTACATAATTTAGTTCATAAATCATTTCGCTCATAAATTGTCTGCATTCATGCTCCAGGTTCACAGAACTAGAAAAGTTATTGCCCCATGTTAGAGACCACCGAGAAGAGCCAGGTTAATGACAATAATCATCACTAAAGCCAAAGGAAACAAATGTTCATTTCAGACACTGCTATCATTATGATATTTTTAATGAATTTTTTCCTTCCTTTTTGGAAGAAGTCAAAAGAATGTCACTTAGCCCCGATCTCCAAATAACTTTTTAAAAATCAAAGATAACCTAAATTCTCTAGCAGTAAAATACTCCGCATTAGCGCACTAAAGAGCAAACTTTAAAAGAAACCCCACTTCCTTCATGTCGCCCTTTCCAGATTAGGTAACTCAGTATGTCTTTCAGTATGACTTCCTCTATTTTCTTTTACAATTATAAAGTCGGATTCCTTTTTTTTCAAAAAGTTTTCTCTTCACTGCCACTAATTTTTTAAATGAGTCATAATGGAATCTTACCTTACTGGTATATATAGAAAAACTATTTTTCATTGAAAAGTTTTTCCAAGAAACCATCAACAAACCTGGATGTACCATACATACTGTATCAAATGTTTAGACATCACTGTTTCAATGTAAAGTCAAAGGCTAATCGTATAGACTGATCAACATTCTGAAATGACTTGCTCTTTTTTTAAAATACAATTAATAACAGACCTGAGGAGTCGTTGGTTCACTTCCATTAACACTGTCAGGAGATTTCGTGGCTTGGATAGATGCATTCTAAGAAAGAGAAAGCAACATCGTGAAAAAAAGGACTAAAAAACTAAAGTTTTAAAATTGTTAAGGACAAAGGCCAAGTACCAAGACCTATTAGATACAATTATCTGTTATACAAAATTAGTAATTATTTATTAGAATGTTTTCATGCAAGGCAAACTAGTATGGTAAGTATTTTAGAAAATTCATTTTCCTGTAATATATGTAACTAGATAGCCAAGATTAGTATGCAGCAAAATTTATTTTAAGCTAATCACATACCTTTCCCAATTACAATGTCACCAGTTTTCCCCCCATGACAAAAATTAACATCAGGAATTCAATTAGCAAAAAAAAAAAAAAAAAACCTCATTCAAATAGAAAACTAGCCAATAAAAAGAAGGAATGTCAACTGTTCCCTACGATAAAATGTTCAAATTAAAGTTATTTGGTCTAAGCTCTGAAAAATATCTTGGTAACAAGAAATAGAAATGCTTCATTCATTTGAAGCCAGCAGTATAAATGACATTATTATAACAACTTCCAGGAAAACTTATAATTAAAAGTATCTTCTTCCACATGTCAAAGTTTTTTGTTTTGTTTTATTGGTATGACAAATACTCCAAGTTAAGCATCATTCTACTGATTGCATCATACTTGCATAGATTCTGTGATAATGGATGAGAGCATTTGAAATTCAAAATTCTATAATGTATTCATAATAACCTAAGTGTCTAAAATTAGAGCTAAAAATAGAAGTAGCGCACGATAAAATAACCTCTGTACTTTAAACAAAGGAATTTGACCAAATACTAACCACTATGTTTCAGTAACTTGGTCTTTAAATAGTACATTTCCTGGGCTGCCCGAGTGGCTCAGTTGGTTAAGAGCTCGCTCAAGAGTGTGAGCTCTGAGCAACAGCAGTTCGATTCCCGGCCCGAGCTGAGTTGCCACTGAGCTGCCAACAGGTGGCAGGATGGCTCAGCTTAAAAAAAAAAAAAGAGAGAGAGAGAGAGCACCTTTAAATAGTACATTTCCCCTACAACTTTAGCTGACCAAGAAAAAGTCAAATATCTGACCTTACTTATTCTAAAATATAAGTGGAGATGGCGCTGAGCTTTGCAAAAGTATTCTCAAATTCTTCTACTCTCACTAGGTATGAAATACTAAGAAATTCCTATAACAAATTACCATACCTAATAAATTTTAGGTATGGTAAATATATTGCAGTTATATATTTTTAGTCTTTATCTTTTAGAAATATATACCAAAATATTTAGATGAAATAAGATTTCTGAAATTTGCTTCAAATAATCCAATGAGGATTGGGATGGGGAGGGTAGGTGCATGTATGGGGAGGGTGGTAGTGTTATGCATGGCTAGAGAAGTGTGGAGGGATGGTAATATGATGGCCATAACGTATTGTTGACACTCAGTACTAGATATTGGAGGAGGGGAGAGAATTCTTATAATACCACTATTACTACTATTTCCACTGTTGTAATGTGCTTGAATTTTTCCCTAATAAAAATGTAAATACCTTTTTCTAATATAAAAATTATCAAATTTTATCAGTCCAAGACATTTCCTTAAAATTACATACGGGAGAAAGGTTGGGGAAACACAGGAATTAACTTTTACCTTCCTGTTCTCTGCCATTTCAAAGAATAAGAAGTTGTATACATGGTATATATTTGTGAAACACAATAATTAATGCTTTCCAGCCCTAAAAATGTACTACGCACTATAAAATTTTAAAAAATACTTTATAGAGATCCAAGACTCTCAGCTAGTCAGCATACTGAAAAGTAATAGTTAAATGATCGAGAAAAGAAATGAAAGGGCTCCATAAAATATTTAGGGGAGGAGGAAGACTGGCAAGAGTCCATTCTATTTTAAGTAATTACTTGACACATGATTGTGGTCTATTCTACAATTGTTTGAAATACCACCCTATCAAACACAGCATAACATTTAAAAACTTTTCCTCCCTGTAGATCTATTTCAATTTATATGTTATACCATATATCTAAATAAATGCAGGACAGTTATGGGAAGTATTGGTCTGTGTTACCCTGTAAACTTAAATCAGGAAATCAGAGATTGTGTCACTACCTGTAACGTCGTCTCCACTTCTGTCCAGCACTCTTGTTCATCCTTCAACTTGCAAATGCCCCTCGTTTTATGAAGCTTCCTATGAGTTGCCTGAAGGGCTAACACATTTCCTACGCCTGTATTTTCTTCTATGAAACTTTAATGCCTTTGTATTGTAAGTGTACCCATATGTTGATATTTTTGTCTCTATATTAACTTATAAGTTCCCAGAGGGCAGAAACCTTGCATTTTCATCTTGGTCCCCAGGACCTAACATTGTGATGACTGATAATAGAGGCTCAGTAAATGCTTGTTAAATCCTTACGCAGTTACTTCCTTCAGTGTAAGGAGACTTCTAAAGACCTTCTCCCAGACAGAAGCCTAAAGAACAAGCTCAATACATGTCAAAACTCAACAGTCACCAATACTCTTGTGGAGGCAATTCTTAGATAACAGGAAAACTCTTCTAAAGTGGATTTAATTTAAAGGCACACACAGGTTCCCGGCCAGATTTGTCTTCAATTATGTTTTGTTCAGTCTTTTAACAACTATTTATTGATTGCTGAGTACTAAGGCTACAGCAATTTTTAGAATTTGAGGTAAAGAGATGCATTTTTCAAAAGAACTGAACTAAGAAAAAGTCAGGAGTTGGTGAACTCCTAATGAAATGATTTAGGCCCTCACTAAATTTTTATTCTACTGGTTATGTTATGGCTTCCCGATGTCACATGGAAAAAAATGCATTTTTATCTGAACAGAACTAAATTTAAATAATATAATAATGTATTTTAGTTTGCTTAAATTACTTTCAAGTTGCTCAAAAACTTCCATTCTAAAATTATCATTTTTCACACTAGGATAGGACTCAATATAAATTACTTTTATGTATTTATGGGCCTAGGAGAATCTCTCTATTACTCCTACATGACGTGTAAAGCAATATCATTTTATGTTTTTATTAAGTTTGTAGGTTATCTTTAACTCCAGTCTCCCTCTCAAACCAGTTTTGAAAATAGTGAGGTATTACTTGTAGCCAGAACCAAGGAGAGGCCACTTTCCCTGAGATCCAAACTAAGACATCACTAGAACTGAGCTGCTTTCTTTTCTAAAACCAAGTTTAGAATGTAATTTAGGGTTGCTACTAGCCATATACAGACCAAGTTTTACTGGCTGCATGGATTAAGTACAGAAATGTTCTAACTTCATCACCAGCTACTTAGTAAATTAAACCAGTTCTCATTGTTTAAAAACATCTCAATTCCAGTTCAGTGTCCAATCTAACACCAAAAGTTATCCTTACCGGGAAAACACCTCTGAGTTTTAATTTGCTAAATTAAGTACTTAGATACTTTAGGGAAAAAGTCCAATTTCCCAAAGTGAAATTAATATATGAGTACAAGATTCAAAATTGTATGAATCCAAGTCAGTTGAAAAATAATGAGATAATTACTTCCTTTCTGATGTTTAATACATAGAAAACTGGTGCTCTCCCAAAATAAAATGCAATTATTTGTTACAATAGAGTCCATCTACCTACTCAATGTTATTTAATAATGGATTTATACACAATGCATTTTTTCCCCAAAAATGTGAGTCGCATCTCCAAATATTCTTGGCCTCCTACCAATATAGAAGGGATTTCTAGCAATGTATACCTTTTTTAGTCAAGACGCAAAAATTCCCTAGGGAGAAAACTTAAGCGTTTAGAGCAAGTGAAGGCAGTCTTCATTATATTAATGAAAACAGTGTTATTTTATTGCTGTTAAAAAGCTACCAGAAAACACACCAGCCATCAGAATTTAGCAATTTACTCTCTGATTTTTTAGAGCAGGGTTAGCAACAGGGCGCTGACGATGCTTTGAGAGATGGTAAGTGACAAGCAACATGAGATTTGCTTCTAGAATTACCAAATTACTTTGCTTCCCCACAAAGGGAATGCAGAAAGCGGTGGAAGGACTCACCACACTGTCAGTCTGTGTTTTAGGCTGTTTGGAGGAATCCAAAGCAAAGATAGTATACTCAGAGAGAAAAGCAGGCTCTGCTATCATCCCGGCTAGTAGCTGTCTCATTCAGTGTAATAAGCAGAGGTATAAAAATAAAACAAATGATGAAAAACAAATCATAAGGGTATGTTGCAAAGTGTTCTCAACACGCAGCATGCACAACATATAATGGCCTTGAACCATCACCACCATCACCACCGCTGTCACCATCATTCCACCCCCAAAATAATAACCTGCTGGGAAAGGTCAGAAATGGTGATGAGTTGAGCTGTTTAGGATATCAAGGCCCAACTTTAAACAACTTGCTTAATGGTATATAAATAATATACGCAACAGGCACCACAGCACACAGTATGTCTGGCAATTTGGTATAAGAGTGTACACCAATAAGAACAACACATGGTAAAGAACACAAAGCCTTAGTATAACATAAATACTGAGCCTTTCATTTTTGTACATTCAAAAAGATAGTGTGGAAATTTATGGGAGGATAAAACACATAAAACTTTAAATAATCATTCATTTGTACTTATATACAAAAATAGCTTTCTCTAATATGTACAGAAGAAACTTTTGAAACTGAAGTTTATAATAACTTTTAAGGATAAATTCCACTATACTAGTTCTTTTGATTCTCTTCTATGCTTCAGTTTTCTTTCAGAAACTGTACACTATACACCAAAATGCTAATAATCATAAATTAGCTATATAAGAGATTATAATTAAAATGAACTTTTTTTGATGGTGGAGGTTACACAAATATACACATGATAAACTTCACAGACCTACACATGCACACGTGCGCACGAGTGCGTACACACACACACACACACACAGGATGAGTACACATAAAACTGGTAAAACCTAAATAAACTTTGTGGATGTCACACAGTTCACCAATGTCCATTTCCTTGTTTTGATAGTGTACTATAGTTTTATAAGATATTACTTTTGGGAGAAATTGGATAAAGGGTACACAGGGCCTCCCTAAAAAAAAGCTTTTGTAACTCCCTGTTAACCTATGATTATTTCAAAATAAAAACTTTAAAAAAAAACAAATCTTTTGAAACATTAACTCAGCAGTGTATGTTATTACATTATATGACATAAAATAAAGAACTCATATCAAAAAATAAATGTCTGCAAAAGCTTAAAACTTACACTTTTTATCTCAGTACTATAGAGTTATGGCTACTTAATTAGAGCCTTCACTAACTCTTCATCTGGTCCTACATTAGAGACCATCTTATAGATAGGACAAACGTTTTTAAGTCTTTTTTGTTATGTTAATGACTGGTACTCCTTGAGTAGGGTTAAAGAATTGACTTTATACTAAATCCTAAAATGTAGTTTTAGTAGTGTACTAAAATATACTAGATATCTGTTTGGCTCTAAGGAGTCATCCTATCCAATTTTCTACTCTTGCTGAAAATCTACTCTCCTGGAAACTCAAATCATGTTTTGAATAAATGTTACTTTAAGTTAAAGGCTATACAAATTCACTCTTCTTAGGCCTCTAAAGTTAATTTTTAAAATGAAGTCAATCTTGCTCATACAAGGAAATAATTTAAAATTGCATATTTAATTAAGGGTATATTTGAAATTTTAAGAGAAAAACACAAAAGCTAGTATCCAGTGTAGAAAAACATGTTGATCAAACATTTTAAAAGAAGGTGCTGCCAAACAACAATTTACACTCTAGCCCTTGTCCATGGAAAAGCAAAGCGCAGCAAAATTAGTTTCCACTGATAGCTACCTCAAAGCCTATAGAGCTTTTCTCCCCTCCTGTCCTTAATTGCTTCTTATGTCTGTGCAAGTCTCATCAACATCAATTCTCAAGTATTCTCAGTAACATTCTGTCTCCACTCAAACTGTTCACATTCTAACCCACACCTGCTAAGAGTTTAATTCACCTCTTCTGCGTAGTCCCTCACTGAAGCCATCAGCTGAACTAATGCTGATTGAAGTTTTATGTGTCTCAACATTCATGAAGCTACCTAAAAACTCCTATCAGGTGGGGGTTCAAAGCTTTTAGTCTATCCTCCATGTCTTACTCTTAGAATATGTATTTTTTTCTTAATCTCTATGGGTCTGTGTTTTGCGTGGGATTACTCAGTATCCTTTTTGAACTCCCTAATTTTCCCTTAAACTGGGACCAGTCTGAGTTTTATTTTGATTTACATTTTTGTATAATTTTTCTTCATTTCCAGCATTTCTATTTGATTCTTTTTCATGTCTACCTAGTCTAGTTTTGTTTTGGCCTGTTTTTCCCCCACAATTTTCTGTTCTTCTTAAGAAAATAATTACTTCATTTATCTTACTAAAGATACTTGTTTTAAAGTCACTTCCAGGCTGCTCTATTCTTTTAATTTCATCTGAAGCAAACTTATCTCAATTCCTGTTGTTACTGGCTGCCTTCTTAGCATCTGTTTGGGATGTTCACTTACAGGCCCATTTGGAAAAGGTCTTCTCTTTCTCCTCTGCCTTCACCCCTCCTTATCCAGCCAATCTAATTCCCAGGGCCCCAGTTTGGGTTTCCTGCCCTATAGCAATCCAGGGGTTATCACAGACTCCATCACTAAGCCAGTGTGAGGTTTGCTTCAGGTCTTGCATGTGAGGCCTCCCTAGGGACCGAAGCTTCTTATAATGGGCCACAGAGAGCTCCAGGCAGCAATTAGCAAAAGTTTTTTTCAACCTCCTTTCACCAGTGCAGGGAGTCCCACTTTAGCCCCTAGCTTGTAGCACTAAATCTACCTCTGGAAGCACAGAACCCACCCAGGCCTTCCTAACCAGAGTTCAAAGAGAAAATTAAGTCCTAATGCCTGCCCTAAGGCATCCGCCAGCATCCAGTGTATGTAACGAATAATCTGTCTCCTATGAGTAACTAATGTATCTCCTATTAGGGAAGGGACTCTAAAACATTTAGTACCTTAGAAAGTGTATAAAAGTCTCTCTACCTTGGAAAAGAGGCTGTCCTGTTTCTATCCTCGGGGCACTATTATATACAGCGGTTAGCGGCAAAACTTACTATTTTGAATCAATTAAACTCATTCCATTCTTATTGACAAGAAAGTATACCTTAAGAAGTACTTGTGATAATATACCCTACAGAAGATAGAAGAATAAAATTGTCTACAACAGCAGCAGGTAAGAAAATACACAGTACAGACTGTGGGTAAACCATTTTGATCAAATTCAATTCAAGACTACAATTTAAGGCCCTATTTTGTCTGTATGGATATTTCTACTACATATAAAGTCTTTAAATAAACAACCAAACAAAAGAGACATCAAAAATGGTCAAGGTATCTAATTTTCTCTAGTTAATCACTACTGAAAAAGACCAAGGGTATATAAAGATGGGGGAAAAAAACATATATCTGGCAAGAAAAACAAGAAAGTGGAAACACAGACAGGAGGAATTTTGCTAAGTCCCAGAGCACCTGAGACTTGAGAAAAATAAGTCAGCAAAGAAACAAGTTACCAAAACTGGCTCAAAAGGAACAGAAAACCTCAATAGAGCTATAAAAAACAGAGAATGAATTAGTCATCAAAACACTTCGCACGAGGAAAAGCCCAGGATCAGGTGGCTTCATTGGTAAATTATACCAGACATTTAAAGATTAATACTAATTTTCACAAACTGTTCCCCAAAAATATAAGAGGAGGAAATGCTTCCCAACTCATTTATGAGACCAATATTTTCCTGATACCAAAACCAGATATCACAAAAAAAGAGAACTGAAGACCAACATCTCTTATGAATATAGACACAAAAATCCTCAAAAAAATACTAGCAAGTTAAATCCAGTAACATAAGATCATACGCCACGAACGACTCCCTTTAACTTCTCACAGCTTCAGCTTCCTCATCTTTAAAACTGGTGAAATGAACGTCCACCTTCATAGCGTTCTTGTGAGGAGCAAGTGAATTCTGAAGTATGAAAATGTTCATAATTTGTGAACCACATACAAAAAGATGATTGCTATACAGAAAAAGAAAAGGCTTTTTCTGTACCTGTCAGCTCTTGAACAGCATGGACACTAAATTCCGTACTAAGAGTGACATTACAGGGAAAGAAAAAATGAAGTCTCAGTTTGCTTTGGACTGGAATGCTTTCTTAAACTTCAAGAAAGATGTCACTTTTTCTTTTTTATTATTCTTGATCTGAGGTGTCTTCCAGAAACAAAATGCTGTCTCTTATCTTGGTAGCTGTCTCTGGGTTTCCAAGTCAGTTGCACTGTCCCATGAGATAACCGGGATTCTTGACACTCAGCTTTTGATAATTCTTAAACACATGTTAGAAATTTGTTTTTGTTTCTTCTAGGGTCTTTCTATGTGATTCAAGTTATACAATCTGTTGCTATACAGTTACTCATAGTATTGCCTTATAAGTTTTTTTTTTATTTCTGTGAATATAATAGTAATTTCTCTTTCATTCCTGATACTAGTAGAGTCTCCTCTTTTTTAACTTTTTCTCTGTCAGTCAAGCTAAAGGTTTGTTGAACTTTATGAGAAACCAACTTTTGGTTTCAATTCATTTGTTGAGTGTGCTGAGTAGTCTGAGAATTGAAGTAGCAAGTTGATCTGTAATGAGCCTCTGCTAGAAAGGGTACTATGGTCAACTGGACAGGTCTGCCATGTGTGCAGGGTGAGAGAGTGCCCGAGTGCCAGAGATCTGTAAACCTCAGGGTCAGTGCAAATTCAGTCTGACTTCAATGTCTACAATCATGCAGATGACTTTTTATATCTCTATCAGGAAGTCCAAGGCACCACAGCCAAGACAGACTTATGTAGATTTACAAATAATATTTACTAACACCAGAAAATAAGGCTATTGTAGATAACAGGGTTTACTGTATCTACTAGAGAGGTAGACAAATATTTATATTGAGTTAAACTTTCACATTTTGCTAAAAAGAAACATTATAACACTTAAAATAAAAAGTCAGGATCTCATCCCTGACAGATTATCTTCCATCTAATAGGTTTGACACAATGAAAAACCCATGCAGTGGGAAGATGACTAAAAAGATAATTCTTATGTAATGTCTTTTTAATCAATAACTTAATTATGAAATGAGAAAGTCCTTTATTTACTGCAAAATAAGTTGAACTAAGGTTTATATTGCACTTTGGGGTCAAAAATACCTTTTAGAGCTGTCAGAAAATGCTTAAAAAGCAAAAAAATATAGTGATCATACTGCTTTGTGTTTCATTCAGACGCCATTTCTGAAGCTAGACCCATAAGCACAGAACCTTTAGTATTGAAATTTGGAAATTTGGTAAGAAATTTAAAAATAACCTTTAGCTTACTTATCCTATTGTAAAGAATGCTCAAACCATCACTTTCAGAAAGGATTATTTTGTAAAGATATATTCAATTAAAAGATTTTAAAGCATCCTAGATAAATCTTTTTTGAAAAGCAATAGTAGTAATTAAGTTATTTTCAGGGTTTCAATTGTATTGTATGTAAACCAACATACCACTATAATATCAACCAATATACTAAGTATAGGAATGATACCATTAACACCGATTACAAAAGCAGTATTACTCAGTATTGTAGCTGTCATTCAAATTGGTTACAAGTATAAACTAATTTCAGTAACATTATGAAATCATAAAATTAAAGGTGTGCAATATTGCAAATAATGCACAAAAAAATGAGATCTCAAAGAAAGAATGCATATACATTATTCTTTTATACAACTCTGTCGGATCATTTAAATCCATGCACCAAGGACACGGTATATATGCCATTAATTGAGTGCAAAAGCTATACTATGAAATATTTAAGGTTATTTTGCTATCAACATCTACTAAATAATATGCTAAAAATTTTTTGTTTTAAAGTAACCTTCATTAAGATAATTTGGAAATATCTTTCAAATTTTTAAATTTGCATACACCCTATGACCCAACAATCCCATTCCTAGAAATGTATCCTACAGAATAACAGCATTATAAACGTTAGTGTACAATGTTGTACAGTACTACCTGTAATACTGAAAAGATTATAAGATTTGATTTATATATTGAGACTTTTTCCAAACTAATCTACAGAGTCAATGCAATACCAATCAAAATCTCTATAGGTTTGTTTTGTCATTGTTTGTGTTTTGTTTTAAGTTTCTTATTGTGAGACTTGAATATCTGATTTCTAAAATTTACATGGAATTGCTATAGAAAGGAGTAAGAATAACCAAGATATTCAAGAGGAAAAGGGCAGTAGCTTTTGGACTGAATGTTTGTGTCCCCCAAAATTGATACATTGAAGCCATAACGCTCAATGTGATGGTATATGGAGGCAGAGCTTTTGAGATGTAGAGTTAGATGGGGTCATGAGGACGGGGCCTTCGGGATGGAATTTATGCCCCTTACCAAAAAAAAGAAAGAGACATGAGAGCTGCCTCACCCAATTCCTCCCACTCCTCCATCTCTTCCCTACGTGCGTGCACCAAGGAAAGGCCATGCTAGGATATAATGAGAAGATAGCTGTCTGCAAACCAGGAAGAGGACCCTCACCTGACACCAAATATGCTGGCACCTTGATCTTGGACAGCCCCACCTACAGAATTAAATGTTTGTTGTTCCAGTCTATGGAATTTTGTTATAGTAGCTCAAGCTGACTAAGACAGGGAAGACCTGTTCTTCTAAGAGCAGGATGTAATATAAAATGATAATTATTAAGACAGTGTGGTATCAGATCAAAAACAAAGCAAACAACAGAACAGAATACACAGCCTAGAAACAAATCTACTCAAATATAGACACTTAATTTCTGAAATATGGTAGCATAGTAATGCAGAGTGGAAAAATGGAAAAACTGGAAAACCATGATGGGGAGGAGTGAAACTTGATCCCTACCTTACACCATATTGAAAAAAATCAAGGCAGCGGGGTAGCTCAGGTGGTGAGAGTGCAGGCTCACAACACCAAGGTCACTGGTTCGATCCCCACATGGCCCACTGAGTTGCACCCTCCACAACTTATATTGAAAACAACTACTTGACTTGGAGCTCATGGGTCCTGGAAAAACACACTGTTCCCCAATAAAATTTATTTTAAAAAAATCATTCCCAAATGGAGTATAGATTCAAATATGAGGAGTAAAACAGGATAGTACAATACTCCCAGGATCAGGAAAAAAAATCTTTAATAATAAACAAAAACTTCTAGCCATGAAATATTAATAAGTTGGAGTACATTCAAACTAAAAACTTCTGTTCATCAAAGGACACCATTAAGAGAGTAAAAGACAAGCCACAGAGTGGATGAAGATACCTGAGAGGCATACAGCTAATAAAAACTCCTATCCACACTATACAAAAAAGGACTCCCACAAATCAATAAAAGACAAAGCAATAGAAAAATGAGCAAGAGACTTAAACAAGCATTTCACAACAGATGATAGCAAATGGCCAAAACACAGATGAAAAATGTGCAATCTTATTAGTCATCAGAGAAATGCAAATTAAAACTACAATTAAGAAAAACACTACACACCCATAAGAACAGCTGAAATTAAAAAGACTAGCAAGGATGTAGAACAACAGCAAATCTGATAACTGATAGGAAAATAAGTTTTACAACTATTCTGAAAAATAATGGGCATTATCGTCTAAAGTATTAAAATTATGTATACCCTTTGACCCAGTGATTCTACTCTTAAGCACATAGCAAAAGAAATGCAGGTACAAGTGTACCAAAAAATGTACAATAATGTGAACAGCAGCATAATTTACAACAGCCAACATGGAGATAACCAGTTTAACTGTAATGTTTACAATAGAAAGCATACTTAGGTGGTACTGTAAACAAAAGGAAGGAGGCAAATACCAATAAGTCAGGATGATGGTAATCTTTTTGGGGTGGCGGGTTGGCCGCACTATAGTACTGACAGTGTTCCTTTTCTAGACCTGGGTAGTAGACACATGGGGATTCACTTTGTAACAATTCACTGATTTGCGCATTTGTTTTACCTTCTTTTCTGTATCTGTGTCAAACTTCACAGAAAGATTAAAAAAAAAAAGTTGGAAAAGTTCTAATCTGAGCTATGGTGCCAGCTGCAAATCACATAGAATCAGTAAAGTTACTTTAGAGTTTCCAATCACTATCTTGAAACTGTATGATGCTGTTCCCCATCTGATGCTATGTTGAACAAACTGTTATCAAATTATTCTGAAAAATTCAAATATTAAAGGCAAAGTATATTATCACCTCAAATTAAGACTCTCAAGGAAAGCACACTTTACAAAAGCACAACTACTATTTGCAAAAACAGAATCATTATGTTACTAATAAAATTATACGTAAGAATTAAATATCTGACCTGTAAAAATAATTTCCCACTCTGTTATCAATAGTAGTGTTACATTTTAGATTAATAAGATTCTTGTGAGAAGTTTATTAAAGTAGAAATCCCATGGGCGGCCGAGTGGCTCAGTTGGTTAAGAGTGCAAGCTCTGAGAAACAGGGTCGCCAGTTCAATTCCCACATGGGCCAGTGACGCTGCGCCTGAGCTGAGCTGCCAATAGGTAGCAGGATGGCTCAGCTGGTGAGAGCATGTGCTCCTAACAAAAAGGTTGCTGGTTCAACTCCCACGTGGGATGGTGCGCTACGCCCACCTGCAACTAAGATTGAACACAGCACCTTGAGCTGAGTGGCTGTGAGCTGCCAATCGGCTGCCGGATGGCGACTGCACTTGAGCTGAGCTAGCTGAGCCCTCCACAACTAAGACTGAAGGACAACAACTTGGCTGTTCCCCTTCCCCAATTCCCCAATAAAATCTTTAAAAAAGAAAAAAGAAATTCCAAACGTACCTCTTTATTGGGTGTACTTTCATCCAGTTGCTCTGCAAATGAAGATGTCCTGCTCCTGGTTGTTGGCGTTGAGCAGTTGGAGGAAGCCTAGATTAAAAAATTATTGAACAAATTAGGAAGACTATACTGACAAGTGCACTATGTGCTGGGTAGTTGTCCTGTCAGTCCATGACCAAAGAACCCAGGGAAAGAAAGAAAAAGAGCAAACGCATGAAAAACAGACAAGGATAATTAAAACATAATCAACTAGCAGACCCAGGCTACCTACTGGGTCCCTGGCCTGACTCTGCCACCAACTAAAACTATGATCTTAATTGAACTAACTTTTTGAGGGCTATGTGTCCTCATCTATAAGGTAGTGATGGTAAAATAAGGTAATAGGAGAAACTGAAACCAGGTGAAGAGTACATGTACACTCTGTACTACCTTTGCAACTTCCCTATAAATCAAAATTATTGCAAAAAGAAAGTTTATTTTAAAAAATAAGGTTGTCAATTCAATCTTTAAAGTGCCTGCCAGTTCTAATACTAAATGCTATGAAATGCACATCTCTCTAGTAAACATCTCTCTACTAAAGGGCCTTGCTTTGAGCCTGACTTACACGCCACAGCTAGATACTGAGATGCCAGTCCATTTAGTTCTATAAAGGACAGCCTGCCTCCTAAAATCCTCAGTACAAAAACCCTCAGGAGAAAGGCCCCAAAATTTAAACTAGGAGTTTGAGGTCTACTCAAGGTGAGCTAAAAAACAGTCCTAAGAGTATAAAGCCAAAACTTCAAGACCCTACCTCACCTATAACAAAATAGACCTGAACTCATCTACACATAGAAATAAGTCTGGATGCCTTACCCTTTGGTAGTCTGCAGAGCTCTACAGAAATAAAAGGCACTTAATAAATATTTGTTAAATAAATGAGTGAATGAACAAATGGAACCCTGATCTGTCAGGTCGGCCCATACTGCTATGGCTAGGCTGGAACAGAGAGAGGTCATGAGGAATAGTGTACACACATACAAACATGCTCTACACAACATATATACATACACACATAAACAGATTTAGTTTACAATAGGCGTAACATTTCTTTTTTTTTTTTAGATTTTTTTTATTGGGGAATTGGAGGGATGGGAACAGCGCTGGGAAATTGGGGAAAGGGGAACAGACAAGTTGCTGTAGTTTTGTTCTTCAGTCTAGTTGTGGAGGACGTTGCTTCACTGGCCCAAGTTGACACCATCATTGCACTTTTCCCAGGTGAGGCAGATCAGTCGCCGGCTTCTAGACTGCCGCTCACGGCGGCTGCTGGCTGCTCATGCTGGCTGCTGGCTACACACGGTAGCCATGGCAACCCACTGCAGCAGGGGCTGCAGCCCGGCGACTCACAGCAGCCCAGCTCCAGGTTGAGCTGTTGTTCAGCATCTTAGCTGTAGAGGGCAGTGTCACTGGCCCCCATGTGGGATCCAAACCTGGGCCCCCTGGCATCCCAAGCCAGCTCTTAACCATCGGGCCACTTGGCCGGCCCAGCGCAACATTTCTAATCAAGACACGTGTCCGATAAAAGTACTGGGACAAATGGCCATGCATATGGGGGAGAGACATCAATCAGGAACTCATTTCATATTTAAGCCTTATTGAAGATTTAAATCATCTTTAAAAATTTAAATATAAAAGAAAATATGAGACTATTTCCATAATCTCTGAATCGGACAGAGATTTTTATGTCAGAAGCAGAAATTAAAAGGAATAGTTTGAGAGGATGGGGAAAACATCAACCAAATATAACAAAAGTTTAATATCCATTTTTTTCCAAACAGATCTTATAAGTCCAAAGTTAGAACTCAGAAAACTCACTAACCCAGCCTTCTTTGCACCTAAGGCAGGTGACCTGAGCTCCACCAATGAACACACACCCACATGAAACTCTGAGTCATAAATGAGTGACGTGAGAAAATATGCAAGATTAAAGCTCATCAGCTGACAATCATGGAGACAGCTTCATGGAGTCGTGCGCAAGAGCTGTGCAGTGGAAGATGTAGTGTTGGTGCCAAGCTGAGGCAGCTGCAATATTCTCATTAGTACAGTCCCTCCGGTGTGGCTGAGCATAGAATCAGCCTCGACTTTCAGGCCCACCTAGAAATTCTGTAAGCTACCAAATAAACACTCTTTAGTAAATTCCTTTACTGCTTAACTGGTTAGACTGAGTTTTGTTGCTTACAACTAGGAATTTCAGCACTCACATATCTGCTAAAAGATAAACCAGAAAAATCAACAAGTAATAGATGAAATTAGCTATATGCAGAAGTTAACTTAAGGAATAACATATCCTTTCCCAGGATAAAAACAGGAGCAGTAAGGTCTTAAAATTTTAAACAAGAAAATGGTTAAACGTGAAATAAAGCTGAAGCCTCATCAATGTCTTTAACGTCTAGAAAATGTATGACTAGACGTCAATATTGTGCTTAGAAAATGAGAGAGCAGTCACTGGACAGTGCCTATCCAGAGCTGAGACTAAACTGCAAATGTTCAGAGCACTTCAGAAATAGTTTTTACTGAAGTTGAGAGAAATTCAATAAGCCTTTCCTATACACAGAGCCATAAATTTCAAACCATGCCAGCTTCAAGAGCTGTAGATGCTTCAAAGGCTGCCACTATCAGGGGGAGGAGCTCCATTTCTATCGACTGCATTTTGCCGTGTATGATGTGCACTTTTTGCCCACATTTGTGAGGGAAAAATACGGATGCACATTATTCATGGGTAGTACTAATTCTGTATCTATATAAATGTTTTTAATTCTTTTATTTACGCTTATGAGTTAAAAGTGTAACTCTAGAAATCAATAACGATATGCATATGCAAAATAATACCCTGGAATACAATAATTGGTTTTGTTGAACTTAAGACAATCTTTCAACAACTAAGACAGCAGTTCTCAACCTTCCTAATGCCACGACCCCTTAATACAGTGCCTCATGTTGTGGTGATCCCCACCCATAAAATTGTTTTCGTTGCTACTCTAACTGTAATTTTGCTACTGTTATGAATCGTAATGTAAATATGTTTTTGTTTTCCGATGGTCTTAGGCGACCCCTGTGAAAGGGTCATTTGACCCCCAAAGGGGTCGCAACCCACAGGTTGAGAACCCCTGGACTAAGAGTTCTTGGCCTATGATGCATAAACATTGTAAATGTGTTACCAGTACACAAAATTTCTTGTACCTTGCATCTGTTCTTATGTTTTGCAATTTTTTGTTACATAAAATTTCTTGTACCATAACATGTTAAAAACTAAATGCTAAAATTCCTTTATAATACAAAACACAAGTATCTAAATGTAAACAAATACACATTTAAATTAAAAAATTAAAACAAAAGTTTTTTGCCCTGAAAGTTTGGGCCAAAAACCTGGGTGCACATTATTATACACGGCAAAATACAGTACTTTTCAATGGTCATGAGTAGTATCTTCTTTAATAAAAGGGCCACTGAGAGGCAAAGATTTAGGAAAGTCATTAGGAAAGTACTACTAGGCTAGAGGAAATAGCTCTTGACCAACCCTTTCTGCTGTGATTCCATCATCGCCAAGTAATCTTTGGGTTAATAATTCTGCTTTCCAAATGCCCCGATGTCAGAAAAGCGCTACTCTAGACAGTGACCTTCCAATCACTTGACATGTAGACTCTTACTATGAGTTTTAAACTTGGCACTATGTCTTCTGACCTTGGCCTCATGTGAATCTAATCAGTAACTGGGAGCCTCATCAGCTTCGGATAAACTGGCAAAATCAAATGTTGGGGGCTATAAATTTGAAGACTAGGTTCTAGAACATACTGTGCTCAGAAAAGTAGTACCACATGGCAAGGCTTGGCCTGGTGACTTGTAGGTCTTCCTCTGGAGTTGCAAGAGTAAGGATCACATGAGGGAATGGATGTGACTGCCCAGTATAAAACATGCATAAAAAACTAACTGTACTTGAGCATTTATCCCGAGGTCCTGGATCTTTAATGGGCTATTCTCACTTCAAGATATAAAAGGATTTAAGATTCCTTCAAACTAAACTTGGTCTAATGAATTCTGATCACCATGAGAAATCTGAAGACATATTTCTAAGCTATTTGTTAAGAAATCTAGTGGTTATATACAGGCTCACAATTATTGGGTTGTCAGAAAAGTCATGACACATTTTTGCAATGAAAAGCAGAAAAATACGTCATGACTTTTCCGACAACCCAATAATATTTTTATTGCCAACTGACTGATTATTATTAGGAGGCTACAGGCCTGAACGTCAGTGTAAGAAAAACCATTTTAGTCACTGCAGTGTGCAGAATTCTAAGATGACCCAGAATGACCCTTGCCTTGTGACTATGATATCAGTCCCCCGATTACATACCAAAAGGGATTTTGCAGGTATATTTAAAGTTACCAATGAGCTGATGTTGAATTAATCAGAAGGAGATTATCTGGATGGGTCCAACCTGATCACACAAGCCCTTCAAATATGAGTCTCGAGTACAGAGGCAGAAGGCAGAGATGCGCTCCTGCTGTCCTGTAGAAAGCAAAATGCCTACATGGACCAAGCAGCAAGAAGCAGCAGGCAAGCTCTGGGAGCTGACAGTGGTCCCCTTGAACAGCCGGCAAGAAACAAGGACCTCAGTTCTACAGCCACAAAGGACTAAATTCCACCACAAGCACGTGAGCATGGAAGAGGACCCTAAGCTTCAGATGAGTACACAGTCTGAGTAACACCTCGATCTTGGCCTTGTGAGATCCTGCGCAGAAAACCCAGTCACCCCGTGCCAGACTTCTAACGTACAGACTGTGAAATAATAACTGGGTTATTAGACACTAAGGTTGTGGTAATTTGTTATGCAACATTAGAAAACTAATAGTCACCTGTAGGAATAATAAGCCTTGAATGCCTTATCCTTATATATCATGACTTTTCATTATCCATCAAGACTCACCCTGAACTCTCTCCAGAAATGCCTTCCTATGTGCAGCCACAACACCCTGTGCACTCACTCTACCACCATACTAGGAATCCTTACCTCTCAACCCCATGGTACAGAGACTACTCGTATGTCTACTTTTCAAGGCAAATGCAACACCCAGCTTAGCACCTTAGCAGGCTCTGTTAAATAAATAAGTGCTCTATAATTACATATGCTTTCAAAAACTTGACCTCTTCTGATCTTCACAACCAATCCGAAAGGTGAGAAGGACAGAGAGCATCATCCCTAATTTCCTGATGAGAAAATAAGAAACTCAGAAAGCTAATGTGGCTTGCCCATACTGCAAGATCTGAGTCAGCACACGGGTCTTCTGTTTCCCTCGTCCATTTCCCCAGTATTATTTAGATCACTGCTTCTCAATTTTTTTTCCCACTGGGACCTAGACTTAAAAAATTAACAAACAAACAAAAAAAACATTTCACACACAGACACTTCTAAAACAAGTTTTCTAGAACCTTAACCTTTATGACATAAAATACCATATTATCTGGCTTATTTTATTCCTCCATTAAAAAAAAAAAAAAAAAGCTGATCCCAACCCACTTGAACTGCTTTCAGCATAAAAAAAAAAAGTTAGGATATATAAAAGTTCTACCCAGCAATATTAAAAGATTTTTTAAAGGGGGAGGAGCTAAAAAAAATTTTTTAAAACCTAGAAATTTTCTAAAATCAAAGAAAAAAATGAGATGATTCCAAGCTCATGTTAACTACCAAAGAAGAAAGAACAGGTTTGGAGTTAGACTTCTCATCTGCCACAGAGATAGGGAAGAAATACACTCAACGGTCTGAAGGGAAATTTCCAGCCTAGACCAAGAACAAACAAATAAATCCTCTTGATTGGGTAAAAGGAAACTGCCTTTCACGCCCCATTAAATTCTTGAGGGCATGGTGCCTTCAACACAGTGAAGAAATCATAATATACAAACTCAAAATCCTTTGCTTAAGAAAACAAGCATTTGTGTAATCTGTTGCAAAAAGGATTATCATCCAAAAAGGTTTTTTGTTTTTTTTCTAATTCATGCGTGAAAGAAATCCTTAACTGAAAACAACAATCCAGAACTACTCATCCCGTAGTGTTCAGTGTTCAGAATAGCTGAGAATCTAAGACCAGAAGAGAATCAAGTTTCTATCAGTAGCTTGATCACTAACAATTTCCTTTTGCATTTTGGATAAATACAAGCATAACATATTATCAAACAGTGTTGTTTTAATTCTTTTGTACACAAAGTGGTTTTATTTGATGCAGTCTCACCAGAGGCATCAACATTTCAAAACTGGGATCTCTAATGTGTTAGTTTGTAACTAGCTTTTTTATTATTGTTCTAAAAACAACCTCTCTTTGTTAATGTATAAAAGCAATTAATTTTCATGAAAAATTAAACATTACAAATAAGAAAAAGAATACTCATATCTCACCATCACCTTCAAACATAATCTTCTGAAAATACTTTCGCTATGTCTGTCTATAAGTATACTTATAGACACATTTTTCCCACAAAACTGAGATCCCATGCTACTTTTTAATGCTTCTTAACATAATATCTTAGCATATTAATAATACTTTTCTGTAGGCTCTAACACTAGTAGTGTGATATTAGGCAACCTAACTTCTTTGAACCTCACACTCCTTCATCTATAAAAGATTATCTACCTCATAGGTTTATGTGACAATGAAGTAAAATAATCTACGTAAAATACTAAGCAAAATGCCTGGCACATAGTAAGAAATCAATAAATGTTGGCATTTTTTAAGGCTACGTAATAACTGACTACCTGATACAACTTTCTATTTCTATTGTTAAACATTTTTTAGCCGGTTTTTACGTATTAAAACAACATGAAATGAAAAGCCATGTGGATAAATCTTTAATGCATCCTAAATTTTCTTAGAATAAATTTCTAGAAGTAGAATCCAGGATCAATTACATTTTATACACTCCCAAATGTAAGAGCCTTACATTCACTAACATGCCCGGTTCCCCACATTCCTCATCTCTACCTCACTTTTAAGTGTTTTGTTTCTTAAATCACTGTGTTTTGTAAAGTCAGAAAAGCCTGCAGTAAATGGTATGAAAAGTAAAATACTTACTATTTAAATTTTAGTCACTATTTACATGTCACTTGGGAGAACAACAAACAAGCCTTCATTGTCATGTTCCAATGTATTTCAAGCACTGTTTTCCTCTACTCGAGCTTTAAATTTTAAGAGAACAGCTTCAATTTATGGTTCAGAACTCAATGCAATAACTGTTTGATTTAAAAAGTGTTCATTAGATGTGTAATTGATGTTTAAAAGTTATATAAGATGTTATGTTAAAAAATGTATTAGAGATGCCTCCAAATTAGTCAAAACTCAGACTTCCTCGTAGAAGCAAAAATTAAGAGATTTTTGCTCTATCTGTTTAGGTTCAGAAAAGTAGGAAAGAAATTTGGTAGAAGCCCTCACCTTCACTGAAGAGACCACGTGCTGCCAGCACCAAAACACACATTCACTGATGCTTAAGTTACTGTTTCCTTTAAATTAACACTAACACGCCCCCTTTTTCCTGGAAGCTGTCATTTCCTGAAGCAACAGCATTAGTGAAAAACCATGTAACGAGACTCTTGAAGAAGCACCCGCCGGGCGGGAGACAAGGCACAACCCCAGCCGGGCCTCTGAGTGTCAACCTCTGTGCCAGTCCGGGATCAACCAAGTTATGCTAAGAGACTAACTCGTGACAGCCTCAAGTGCTGGACGCCGGCCACGCTGCCACCGCTTTCAGGTCCCAACGCTCCTGCAAGCAGCCGAGCCTGCAATGGCTCGACCCCTGACCTTCGCCCCTGGGGCAGGATTTGAAAATAAGACTTCGATCACGGGTCAGAGGTCCTGCGGGATCCTGGCCCCTCGGTCCTCAATCTGAGGTCCGGGATGGGAGACGGGGCTTTAGTCAAGAGGTCAGATATGACAAGGGACCCTGCCCTCGCTCCTGAGTTGGGGTCTCAGCTGGGTGGGGGTCACCCTTCGATATGAGTCAAAAATCATGCAACATCGGAGCCCCTTTCACTTAGTCTCAGGCCGGGGTCAGAGGCATCAGGGAAAAACTCGGACAGAGGTCAGATAACACGAAGGATCCAGCCACCCCCACCCATTCTCCAGAACCGAGTTTTGGGATGGGGGACCCGGTCAGGAGTCACGGAGGGCGTGGGCCAACCCGAGGTCGTTCCCAGCGCGGGGTTCGGTGGAATCCTCAGGTTATAGGTCAAGGGTCACGGGAGAACCACCCCTCCTTTTTGCCCGGGAGCCGGTGTCGAGGGGTGTTGGGAACCAGGAGAGAGGCAGCCATAGTACCTGAGTAGAGGCCAGCGCCGGCTGGAGCTGCTGCTGCTGCTGCTGCTCCTCGGTGACCTTTTGCTTCAGTTTCTTGAACATGGCGCAGCGCGGGGTCCTGAGTGTGAATGAGACCTGAGGGGGGAGTGCCCAGGGAGACCCGGCCGCGGCAGCGACGGCGGCTTCTCTACAGCAGGGACCGCGGGGGCCGGGCCTCGCCGCCTGCTCGCGGGCAGATCGGGACTCTCGTCTTGCAGGTGTCGGCGTCGCCGCCGCCGCGTCTCTTTCTTCTGGGTGGCACTGGTTGGCGGCCCCCCATCCAGCCCCGGCAGCGGCGGCGGCGGCGGCGACAACGGCAGCAGGTGAACGGTGTGCCCAAGGCGCCTGCGCGGCCTACGTGGAGCTGGCGGACGGCGCTCTACGGAGCGCTGGAGGGAACAAGCGCCGAGGCTGGCCGGCACATGCGCGCTCGGGAGGTCGCTCCCGAATGCTGGAGCGGCAAGGACGACGGAGGCTTCTGCGCTGCCCAAAGCCATCGCCTGCAGAGACAGGCTCAGAGCCCAGAGTCCGGGCTCCTCTGAGCACTGCACTGACGCACGCACCTGGGCCTCCGCACTGCGAAGCCAGACGGGGAGGGTGATCTTCTGTGGCAGGGCTGGCAGGCCCACAGCGAAGTGAGAGTGTCGGGGATGGAAGAAGGGGCAGTCAGGGAACCTGCCATGGGCGCTAAAGGATAGTGTACTTTTGTTCAATATCTGTGGTTAAGGTTTTATATCTCCGGTGCCTAGTACTCCTACTGCTCCCCGGAGAGACCCTCTCCCCTTCCTTGATATGAGGTTCCTGGGCTTCTCATGTTTCAGGCCGATATTGTAAAGATCTCAATCATTTGGACATGTGCCTTTATTTTTTAATTTCATTGAAATCATATATTATCACATATTCAAAAATCTATATCGCTCTAGGCACCAGTTCCTTGGGGATATTAAAAGAATTCACAGCCCGGTGGAGACACAGATTCCTAAAGAGTCCGCATTTATCCCTAGTACCTGCTATCATCCTGAGCGAGTTTAATGTTAATGTGCCTAATTCATTCAACACCCTGCACTTTGGCCATCTGTGAGTCCTCAAATCTATCTCATCAACCTATTCCTATACCAAATTGCTTCCCATTGCCTCAGGTATCAGAACCTGACAAAGCATGTAGACTGATCCTCACATTTTAGTAAATTGCATTTACTAGCAATTATAGGCGCAAGTTTCTCTCTAAGATTCCATAGCCTGATCCCTAAACGTATTAGAGTCCGAGCAGGGCCTGGTCTAAACACTGAATTGACAACTGTGCTAAGCCCTCTCTTATCTCATAGTGAACAACTATATAATTCCCACAAGTTTCTTTTCTTTCTTTTTTTCTTATGAGTCTTTGTCAAGATTATAAAATTCAATAGGCCTTCAGCTGCTCCGAGACTTCAGATACCTGCTATGCATCATCACCCCAACATTCACAATACAAATCAGAGGTTGCCAATGTTATACTTATGTATCTGTGTATATGTATACATATATGTGAGCCCTATCAAAGCAGGCCATAATAAATAATAAGCAAATAAGAAATTTGAGCTACTACTTAGAGATAGAAAAAGGCCAGAAAAGGACTAATTATGTGAAAAAAAGCTTTGCTAGGACACAAAAAAGAGAGGAAAGGGGGACAGGGTTGAAACCATCCCATTTAAACACAGTTTTGTTGACACAGTAAGCCTCTTCACAGTTACCCTCATCATCTTCAGGCCTTTGCAAATTAACATTCATTCTCTGTTCTTAATTGGACCTGTAAGTTACTCTAATTCTTCTGCCACTCCTAGATGAAAATCGCCACCTGCTAAATAAAGGCTCTTGACTTGGCACACTTCTCAGAGTCCTGCATCAACCCAGTCGGAGCACTCTGCTTGCCCTGATATTCCATGTTAGTAATTTGAACTCATCTCCTACCAGCTGCACACGGACTGGCATACTGCAGAATGGAAGGACTTTTGAAATGGGCTTGCACCCAATCCTAATGACCAGAGACCTCATGAATTTATTTCCCCAGAGAAACTAGTACCTAGCCTATTAAACACAAAGAAGCAATGTTCATAATTATAGACCAAACCTGATTATCATTCTTTCACCCCTTCCAATGGCAGATACCATCCTACCTCAATATTTCAGAAAATGTTCAGAATAATATGACCACTAGGGACTATGCTTCAGAAAACAGCATTACATAGTATGAAGTTCCTTTCCGAGCCTTAGATATGAAAATAGTATGTCAGAAAATGCTTCTAGCCAAAAGAATCAATTGCAGCTGAAATCTTTAACTCTGATTTCCTGCATTTCTGATTACAAATGCCTTATTGACCCTTTTGCATCACCACACAAGACACTTTCTTAACCCTCATTAAGAATCCTGATACCGGGCCGGCGGAGTGGCGCGATGGTTAAGAACTCGCTTGGGATGCCAGAGGGCCCCGGGTTTGGATCCCACATATGAGGACCAGTGACACTGCCCTCCACAGCTAAGATGCTGCACAACAGCTCAACCTGGAGCTGGGCTGCCGTGGGTCGCTGGTGACGGCGTGGGCTGCAGTTCCTGTGGCAGTGGGTTGCCATGGGCTACCGTGTGTTGCCAGCAGCCAGCGTGAGCGGCCAGCCGCCGCAGTGAGCGGCCATCCAGAAGCCGGCGACTGATCTGCCTCTCCAGGGAAGAGCGCAATGATGGTGCCAACTTGGGCCA